GTAGTTTGCCATTTCCTTCTCCTGCTCATTTATAGATGAGGAAAACGAGGCAAACAAAGTTAAGTGACTTGCTCCAGGTCACCGAGACTGTGAGCTTCTCGAGATGATAGACTGTCTTTTGCCTTTATTTGTATGGCCAACATGTAGCACAGTGCCTCGCACATAGTCAGCACTTAATAAACGCTTACTGACTGACTGACTGACCACCGAGATCCTTTTGTTAGAACTGAGGGAAAGAAGATTAAGAAAAATATTTTCAAGTAAGTAGACTGGCCCCGCATTTTAGGAAGGGTATTGACAAATTACAATGTGTCCAGAAAAGAATGACCAAGATGAAGAAAGGACTGGAAATATGAAAGAACTATAGGGAGAAAGATTTTAGCCTTATAGGAGAAAAAAGAAAACATTCTAATAATAGGTATTGCCAAAAAAAATAAGGAAAAGAAAAATGGAAGGGGTTGCCTCAGGACATGGTGAGGTAGTGAGAGAAATGGTCTATTAACCATTAGTAACGCAGGGAGGATTGTTCTTTAGGTCAGGGCTTGGCTAGATGAATTCTAAGGTTCCTTTCAGCTCTGAGTTTCTGAGTCACTCTGGTGGGGAGAACAGAACAAACAGCTAGGCAGAGCCATCTTACGTCATGTGTCATGTGAGGTAACAGCCCTTGGAAGAGACCAATTGGTTTAGGAATAAAGATCAAGCCAGCAGGTGAAAAACCCGCAGCAAAGACTTGATTTAGTTTGTGCTGATAACATTATCGGCCACCAGATGGCGTAAAGGCAAACCTTCAGAGACAACGTACTAAAATCTGTTGGGCTCTTAAGACCGCATGTCTTTTACAGCGTTTTAGAATACTAAAAATTTTAAAAAATCATTTTGACACTGCCCCTGCTCTCATGTAGTTCACAGTCTTGTGAGGGGATAAGAACTCAGTGCAGATAAAGGACATGCATGACAGACACAGACCAGACCCACTATTTCTTTGGTGCAGGGAATTCCCAGTAAGGAACTTCTCTACCACAGCAGGTTGACACCTTCTCTGCAATTTGCCTAAAGTATAGAGAGACTAGGCAAGTTGAGTTGGGTCATGGATGCCAAAAGTGAGACTTAAATCCTGGTCTTTTAGGCTTTGAAGCTACCACCCCATCTATAATGTCACTATAATGAACAATAGTACACAGTAAATATTTAAGAGCCTGTTGCCTATCATGTACTGATATATGCTGTGTGACCATGGACAAGTTGTTTAACCTCTCAATGTCCCAAACAATTCTCTATGACTATAAATTACAGAGGAATTGCAAATCTGCATAATTGGGAGTGGGGGAAGGAGGAGGAATTTCCATCCACAACAATGCAATCACAGGTGCAAACTCTGACCTCCACCCTCCCAAAAAATAAATAAATAAATAAAAAGTATGCAAAGAACTAATACCTTAAAAATACAAATAAATTAAAATCAACTAGCTATGGGACAGGATATCGTGGGAGTGACTTCATTTCCTCAGGCTTTGGTTTCCTCTTCTGAAAAAGTCTCCACCTCAGGGTCTCAGTTTGATGGATTTGGATTGATGCCTTTCTAAGCTCCCTTATAGTTCTAATGTTCCATGATTCTCAGTGGTGCAGTAGATAGGACTTTGGACTTGTAGTCAGGAAGACTTGAGCTCAGATCCTGCTGCAGACACTCCCTAGTGTGTGATGCTGGGCAAATCATTTAGACTCTCCAAACCTCAGTTTCCTCATCTGTAAAAGATTTCCTTCTGATATTACTTCCTTTTATACTTTACATATCTTGTACACACAGTTATTTGCCTATTATTTCCTCCATAAGAAAGCAAAATCCTTGAGGGCAGGGACTATACCTGGCACACAATAAGAGCTTTATTCATACTTGTTGATTTACTAAAAGGGCAACAATAATAAGCACCTCTCTCACACAGTTGTTGTAAGGATAAATGATGAAGTATATGTAAAAAAGAACTTTACAAATAATAAGTGATATCAAAATGGTATCTATTTCAACATAAGACTGTTGAGTACATGGAGGGTGCTAATGTGCAACAAGACCAGAAAGGTAAGTTGAGGCCAGAATGAAAAGGGTTTTAAACCCCAAGGGGTTTATATTTGATTCTGGGGGCTATAACAAGTCACTAGAGTTTATTGAGTAGAGGAGTGACATGGTCAGATTTATGGTTTAGGAAAATCAGTTAGACTCTGACAAAAGATTTAGCAGGAACATTGATTTTTGATTGTCACAGTGATGGGATTGAAAAAAGACAACTTAAGAACAACAGAGAACTTTACCCTTGGCCAAACCAAGTGTCCCAGGGGAAAGGACACCCCTGAACACCCCTGTGAATTCCCAGACTCTCAGAAAAGGGGAAAATTAATTCTATGTCTTCCAATTTGGCACCACATAAATCCTCATGTGGAAGAGACTTCTGGGTAATATAATTTTAAAAGGCAAGCATATAAATTTTAGAGCTGCATCAGTCAATGTGTCTTCAGGCATGTTTTATGTTCCTTTGTTGTTAAGAATGTTGGTGATTTTTGGATTTCAATCCATAGTTGAAATTTGCATGTAGAAAGCCAAGTGTCAGCATTAGGCAATACAATAATAAAATATTGTTCATGATCCTTCTCTAATTTGGCAGTACCCATAGACCTCAATATGCTGGGAGGGACCTGAGAAATAATATAATCCAACAGGAATCTGCTGTCCTAAGAGGCAAACGAGAGCAGTGGAAGGAGTGATGGACCTGGAGTCTGGCAAGACCCAGGTTTAAATCATTCCTGTGACACTGACTAGTTGTGTGGACATAAGCAATTACTTGTTTCTCTGAGCTTCAGTTTCCTCCCCCCCCACCAAAAAAAAAAAAAAACGGCAACAGTAATTACTTTGTTGGATGGGGGAGATGATGTATGTCTACAGTACTTTGTAAAGTGCGGTATCCCTCATCTTCTCATCTGTTCTCCCTCTAATGTGTCTTCCACACTTTAAATTATTACTCTTTATATATAAATGTGATCATGTCACTTCTCTATTCAAACCCCTTCCATGGCTCCCTAGTACCTACAGAATAAATTTCAAATTCTTCAACACAGTCTAATTGTCCAGCACTATTTCAAACAACCATTTTCTACATATTCTATGGTCAGCCAAAATAAGCTACTTGCTGGTTCATTGAATATGTCCTGTTACTTTCTGCCTCTTCACCTTTGATTATATTGTTTCCCTGTCTCTGGAGAATATCTCTTTCTCCCACCATCTTTTGTTGAATTTCTACAACAATAATAATAACTCATATTTATATAGTGCTTAAAGTTTACAAAGTATTTTACAAATATTATCTTATTTGATCCTCATAACAACCCTGTGAGGTAAGTGTACTTATTATCTCCATTTTGCAAATGATAAAACTGAGGCTAACAAAGCTGATCCTTCAGTTAGATATGATTATTCCTTCCCTAGACACAACATAGCACACTGCACTTTTTTGTGCTCTTATTATTCTAATTAGAGTGACAGAGTAGTGTGAAGTAGTGAAAAGGATACTGACAATAGATATCAACATCCCAGCTCTCCGTGATTGGATCTTTTGACATGTTCTCTGAAACCATGGACTCCAAGCCTCAGTTTATTCACCTGTAAAATGGGAATAACTATCCACCCCCATAGGGCTGTTATAAATGAACTGAATTGTCAAGAATTGTACAAAAGTAAGCTATTGTTACTGTGCATTATAATTATTCATTCAAAAATTGCGTGACCTCTCCTAGACTTAGCTAGAAGTCTTCAAGCTGAAGCTGGATGCTCCGCTATGGGTTATATTGTAGAGAGAAGTTTTGTTCAGTACTACTTAATCTAGAGAGCTGCTTAAATCCCTTCCAATTCTGAGGTCCTGTGGGGCATGGGTCATCCAAACTTTAAACCTTCCCCAGGGCTTAGCATAGAGTTCTGCTCAAAAAAAAAAGACTAAATAAGTGTTGGATTGAATGTGACCACATAAGCCAATTGCAGCCAGACCAGGACAAGAAGAGGTCAGGTCTCCTGGCATCTAATCCAGAGATTTTTTTCCACTAGACCATATTAGTATTACCAAGAAGAATGTCCTTTATTAGAAAATACATTCAAGCAGACAACGTGAAAAGTAACATGTCAATTTTATCATATTCTTTCTCAAAAGCAAGTTGTGCATCAGTGGCATCAGACTCAAATGGAAACTGATCACTGCTGGCCACTTATTAACTTAGAAAACCACAAATTAATTGTCTCTGTTGTATTGTATTTTCATCTTTTGTTAAACATTTCCCAATTAAATCTTAATTGGATTTGGATTGCACTGAGGAGTTTCACTGGCCTACAGTTTGACACCTCTATTGTACATAATAGAGATTCTCAGTTTCACATATAAACTTTTTTCTGCTTTACTTCATCTATGAAAATATTCTTTTTTTGATGTTAAGATAAAAAAAGAACTTTTTAAAGAAAAAATGCAATTTATTACTTCTTATCCTCTTAAAATTCTCACTAATTTTCTTTGTTAATTATTAAGCATTTGCATCTGACTTTCACATATTGGCAATAATGTCAGCATTTAAATTCAGGTTTTCTTACTCTAGGACTCTTTCTACTATAACAGTCTTCATCTCTAAGTCTGAACCACATTAATTGAGGGAATCATAAATTCAGAGCCAAGAAGAGACATTTGAGGTCATATAGTCCAACTCATTCATTTTACAGAAAAGAAAATTGAGACCCTGAGAGGGGAAATGACTTTTCTGAGATCCCAAGTTATAAGTAAAAGAGTAAGGATTTGAACTCAGGTACTCCAGCTATGGGTCCAGTAGTCCCTCCATTAGTTTCCATTGCCCCTTTGAGAGTCCTATATTTTCTCTCCTGACACAGGACATGATAATATCTGCAGATATGTCAAGGTAAATGAATTCATTATTATGTTGCCAGTGTTTCAATAATGTGCTCTGTTGCTGTTTTTCAGGAGAAAGTGAAGCCAAAGGAATCCAGGTAAACAGAATCATTACCAATGATGTGCAGAAGCACATCTACTTGGCAATAGAAGTAGAATGATGTCAGTGTTAAATGACCATTGGTGAAATGTGCTCTAAAAGTTTGTTAAGATTCTATTTGCTATGCTCACATGACTTGGGCAGTTGGGAACAGTGGAGAAAGCACAGGGCTTGGAGTTTCAAGACCGGGCTTTGAATCTTAGCTGTGATTGATGCTTACTCTTCTGTGACCATAAGCAAATCACTTACTTCTGTCTGAGCCTCAGTTTCCTCATCTGTAAGATGGAGATTACAATCTTAAAGCTGCCTGCTTCAATTTGATTCCATAAAGTAGATCAAGCAATTATTATGTGCAAGGCACTGGGGATACAATGACAAAATGAGAGTTCCTCAAGCAGCTTACATTCTACTGAGGGGAAACAATCTGTACAAAGATAAATAATATTATTTACATACCTACATACATATACACATATATGTATATATATGCAAAGTAAACACAGAGTTATTTGGGGGACAGGAGAGAATACTTACAACTTCACAGAGCTCTTTTGAGGGAAATGCTTTATAAATCTTAAGGTGATATCAAATATGAAATCTCATATTTATCTATTAAAAATGTAGATGCAATTGAGATTGTCAATGCTCCCATTCACACTACTTGCCATTTCTCTTTTCTCTAGAATCCTTTGCCACCTCCTCGGTAAGACTCTCAAAATACGTTCGTTTGTTTTTTCATGAAAGCATTTTCTCCTTCACTTGGTAATTCAGATTTTAGAGGATTCAGAGCTGGGCTTAGTTAGAATCCCATAACTAAAATTTCTACTAGAGAAATAAGCCCAGGGGGATGGAAGCTCTTCAAGAATGAAATTCTGGTGACATAAAGGGAAACCAATTCTGATGAGGAATAAAAAGGGCTATTGTGTAAAAAGACAAATGTGGAAGCCCAGGGGACTCACCAACCAGTTTAGAAAAGGAAAGGCATGTACAGAAAATGGAAACAAGGGCAGATGAAAGAGGAAGAATACAATAGGGTGCTACGGTCTTGTAGGAATAGAGTCAGGATTGTAAGAACTATGTTTAATGCAATTACCAACCCCAATGCCAAAGGACCAATAAGGAAGGATACTACCCATCTCCTGACAGAAAGGGCTCAGGTTACAGAATAGGACAAGGTTTTTGTTTTTGTTTTCCAGCAGGAGAGTTGGGAGCAATAGAAGAAGAAGGAAGGAAGGAAGGAAGGAAGGAAAGAGACAAAGAGAAAGAGAGGGAGGGAGGAAGGAAGAGAGGGAGGGAAGGAGGAAGAAAGAAAAAAAAGAGAGAGAAAAGGAAGGAAGGAAAGAAAGAGAAATTCATTGAAATATTTTTGAATATACAGAAGAAAACAGAAAAAAGATTAGAAGAAAACTCAGACAAGCTAGACACTCTTGAAAATTTTGTGTTGAATTCATTATATGCTTAAAAGGAAAAGCAAGCTGTGCATAATACAGATTTACAATTCCATGGACAATATTCTTTCTCTGTTCTACTTGGTATGTTTTCGAAAAGTTTAAATTTTAAAAAAAATAAAAGAAAGAATAGGGTCATAAGAATGAGCTTGAGGTTGTCAAGGAAAGCTAAGAACAACACCAACAGCAAAAAGGGGGTGCTGAATGAACTTTGAACTAGAGAGGATGGAACAAGAAAGGCAATGTAGCTCCAATATCTCTACCCTTCTCAAAACTTCCTCATGGCTGTGGAAGGACAACTGATTTTAGAAACAATCTAAAACATATTTTAGAAACATAGAGTGTCTCATTTCCTATATCTATTTCCTATCTTGTAAGAACTATTTTTTTTAAGTCTTGTGATCTTTCAAATTGATCTTTTTTGTGTCTATAATAACAGGCCTCCAAACAGCCTTCCAAAGAAATATCGATCCCTTCCTCCTGAACCAGAAAAGAGTAGGCTCATTCTAGACCAAAGAAATGATTTCCTAAAAGCTGACAGAAGCACCAGGTAAGAGTTTTGAGCTGTACACGCCACAGACAACTGTCAGAACTGCTTTTTATGAGAGAAAGAAAAATAAATAAGTTTCCGTTCAATACATCCATATAAGAATTAAATGACCACTAGAAATATAATCTTGGGAAAATGTCAACCTAATTTCTTTCTAAAAATAAAGTTGCTGTTAAAGAATACTAGTAAGTATTAATAATAAATACTTAACTAATAACACTAATAAACACTTAACTTCCCTGGGCCTCAGTTTCCTCATTTGTAAAATGAGGTTATTGAACTAGATGATCCTATTTCATCTAATCCAAAAAGCCTTTCTTAAACATGTATTATGTACGAGGCATCGTGCCACGTTTTGGGAATAAGAAAACAAAATGATTAATAGTACCTACATTTAAGGTATTTATTTTCTACTTATATGTTCTCCAAAGTCCCTTGAAACTCTAAATTCAATGATTCCCATTCCCATTTAAAATAACTCTTTACAGTTTACAAAGTAATTTGCTGTGAGGTAACCAGGCCAAAAATTATTATTACCACTTTACAGATGAGGAAACTGAATCTCAGAGAGGTTGAGTGATTTGTCCACAATCACACAGTCAGTAAAAAGAACCAGGACTCAAATCCTAATTTCTTTTCTCGAAATCCCCTACACTAGGGCAGCTAGGTGGCACAGTGGATAGAGCACTGGCCCTGAAGTCAGGAGGACCTGAGTTCAAATCGGGCCTCAGACCAAACACTTGACACTTACTAGCTGTGTGACCCTGGGCAAGTCACTTAACCCCAATTGCCTTAAAAATAAATAAATAAATAAATCCCCTAAACTTTCTTTGACATCCTGCAGCCATCCAAGAAAGACACATGGACAAAGGTTTAACTTGATCCCTTTAGAAACTCCAAGAGTTTGAATCAGGAAACCGTATTCACAAACTAGAAGGAACTTACTGTTTTTGATTCAGTACAGTTTCTCAATTCTCAATCACTAAATCACAGTAAGTGAAAACATCATACAAAAACACATTTGTCAAAAATGTTATTGCTTCTTTGACAAATAGATATTGAAAAATCCAGACCTCTAATATTAAGTGTCCATGATAGATCGCTTCTCTCATCACTCAAAGAATATTTGTTACCCTGCTGTGATCATAAAAGGCAACAAGTCCAATTAGCGACATGTCCCCAAGAGACTTGGTAAGAATGTTTTTAATGAATTTCTTTGGGGTGTAGGAATAGCTCCCTTTCTGCTGTTTTGCCACAGAATATATCTTCAGAGCAATTTAGATTCACTGGGCCAGTGTGACCTGTAATGGCAGGAGCTTTGGATTTGATATCAGAGGGCCTGAGTCCAATCCTCAGCTATGCCTCTTAGTAGCTTCAATGTAAGCAGTCTTCTACTCTCTCTGGGATTCGGTTTCTTAACCTGTTTAAAAAAAAAAAAGTTTGGAGTAGATGAGCTCTAAAGTTCCCTTTCATTCTGTAGTTAAATGTTCTAAGACCCTTCCCAGCTTTAAAAGTGCTCTACAGTTTTGTTAATCACTATCTTCTTTTTGGGGGGGAATAACTAGGTGGCAAAGTAGATAGAGTGTCACACTTGGAGTCAGGAAGACTCATCTTCTTGAGTTCAAATCTGGCCTCAGACTCTTATTAGCGAGCAAGTCACTTAACCCTGTTTGCCTCAGTTTCTTCATCTGTAAATGAGCTGGAGTAGGAAATGGCAAACCACTCCTGTATCTTTGCCAAGAAACTCCCAAATGGGGTCACAAAGAGCTGGGCGTGACACAACAACAAGCATCTCCTTTTTTGAGAGTAGAAATATCCTTCATGGAGCCACAATTTTTTTTTGTTTGTTTTTTCAGGCAAATGGGGATAAGTGACTTGCCCAGAGTCATACAGCTAGTAAGTATCAAGTGTTTGGTCTGAGGCCGGATTTGAACTCGAGTGCTCCTGACTTCAGGGCCAGTGCTCTATCCACTGTGCCACCTAGCTGCCCCTTGGGGCGACAAATTTAAATCACATTTTCATCACCTTGGGTTCCCATGTGAAGGCAGTGCTGAGGAGTTAGAAGACCTGGGTATGAATCCTGGTTCTGCCATTTACTCACTTTGAAATTTTAGGCAGGTCCCTTCAAATCTCTATGTCTGTTTCTTTATTTGTAAAGTTAAGGGGCTAAACTGAATGTTCTCCTAAGACCCCTTCCAGCTCTACATCCTGTGAAGCTTTGGATTATGAACAAATTACTTTTCTGATCTTTGGTTTCCTAATCTTGAAAACTGGAATTATAATACCTATACAATCTATCTCACAGGCTTATTACAAGAATCCAATGAGAAAAATGAATGTGAAAATTATTTGCAACCTAAGATGCTAAATAATAAAGTGATTGCGGAAAGAGTATAAGTCTCAGAGCCAGAAAACTGATCCAAATCTTGGCTCTACCATTTACTTGTTATGTGACCCTTTTAATCATTTAATCTCATTAGTCCTCAGTTTTCTTATCTTTAAAATGGAGATACTCTAATACTCCAGTGGATCTGTGACCTCTTCAATTTGGGAGTTCCCAACCAATGATGCAGGTTGCCATTAACAATAACAGCAATGCTAACAGTAAGAATAAGAATAATACGTTGATACAGAGCTTTCAAGTTTATAAAGTATTTTCCATATGTTACCTTATTTAATCCTTAAAACAACCCTGTTCAATAGGTGCAATAGGTCCCCATTTTATGAATAAAGAGGGTTAATTGACTTATATATGGTCCTTCAACTCCTAAGTGTCTAAGAGAGAAATCAAACTGGAGTCTTCTTGACTCCAAATCCAACCCCTCTATCCATTTTGTCACTTATCCATTATCTTCCCATAAGTTCACAACAATTAGTTCACCCAACTTGCTGGGGACTTCACTCACGGTCTCTTGATATCCCAGTTCTGCTGGAACACATGAACTGCCCACCCATCATCTCTTGTTCTTGATTGGCTCATCTTCTTTTCTGGTCAATGATATCCTTCATATTGCTTCTATGTAATTCCTTACTTATAATGTGTTGTAGCCTGACCACTAGGTATCTCATTAAAATGAGGGTCAGAGTAAAAATCATAATAAAAATAACAAATTTTATCCAACATTTACATAATACTTTAAAGTTTGCAAAGGGCTATAGAGATATAAATATATAGATCCCATTTGATGCTATAATAATATATTAAAACACCAAGAATAATAATAATACATACCTCACAGTAAGAAAAGGAAAAGTGCTTTGTAAAATTTAACTGACTATAGGAATATGAGCTACTATTAATTTTACTCTTTGGGAATGTTGCATCTTAAGATAGATTCCTTCTAATAATATAGTGCATCAGTCAAGTTTTTCATTCTCCCCAATTGTAATTATTCTCGATTGTGACTAGCACTATGTGAGGCACTTAATTTTATTTCTGGGGTATGGCTGTTTAGCCAAAAACAGCTCCATAACTGACTAACTAGGGGACATATGGCCTTAACCTCTGGAACCTCAATTTCCTCATCAATAAAATGGGAACATACTTCAGAGGGCTGTAGTGAAGATTAAACATGCAAGAGCTTTCTAAACTGTAAAACATATAGGAGGGATTATATATTGGCCCTCCATTTTGATGGGGGTGGCTGAGAAAAAAGGCAGGCCCTAGTACAGCATTATCATTGGCCTGCTGAGTGCTAAATACAGATCACAGAAGATCAAAAGCACCTTAGAGCTTCTCCACAGGCAGCATCTTTGATCTTCAACTACCATCACCTCATATGGTTTTGAGTCTCTGTGCTTCCTTCACATATGCCTTCTCCTCTTGTATCAGAGCCCCAGGGGAAAGGTTGGGGTGGGGAGTTGTTATTTTGGGAGAAAGGGAGAAGTCCCAAGCTAGGAAACCCACAACCACATATACCATTGGTTTTCAAAGCTATCTATAAAACAAGATTCTTTTAATATGATTAGGATTATATATAGGGTCCTTCAAGGTCAGCTAACTCAACTCTTTCACTTTGGGGATGATGAATTTGAGACTGGTAGAAATTAAGTGAGTTTGCCCAAGATTACAAAGCTAACACATAGCAGAACCAAAAATTGAATACAAGTCCTTTGCCTCTCAATCTGGTGCTACACCACCTTGCCTAATCCTGCTAAAAAAAAAAAAGTCAGGGAGCTGGAAGGGACCCCAGGAGCCATCTAGAGTAACTCTTTCATTTTAATAAAATAAAATTTAATCAATTTAAATTAATTAAATTAATAAATAAAATTTAATAAAATAAAAAAGGAAACTCAGGGCCAGGCAGGCCAAGTCACTGGCCAAAGATCACAAAGCTAACAAGTAACCAGAAATTAAACTTAGGCCCTATGACTCCAAACCCAGTGTTCTTTCCACTTACACCCCATTGCCCAGCTGAAAAGAATCATAGTTCTTAATTTAACTTTACCTAGAATCGATAATTCAGAGCCCTTCTTTCTTCATTCTCATAATGGGCTTATTAAAAGGAATTCATTAATTCATTCAACAAGCAATTTCCCCAGGACTACAGTGATAATTATTAGACAGTCCCAATTTTCAAGAAGTATATACTCTTTTGGGGAGGGACAATACAAAAACAGATAAATAAGTAATAGATAAACCTAGAATATATGCAAAGTAAATAAATAGTAATTTAGGGGAATCCCATCAGTCAGGTTTTTTGCGGGGAGTAGGGGCCATAGATTTGGGGATGTGGCTCTTGAGCTGAGATTTAAAAGAAGTAAAGGATGCTAAGAGGCTGAATTGAGGAACTAGTGTATAACAGGCATGAGGGACAGCCTGGGCAAAGACAATGAGAGAAGAAATGGAATGATGCCATGTATAAGGAATGCAGAGTGCATTAAAGGGACTGATATATAATAAGCCAAGACATTGACTATGATGATTCCAGAGAGCAAAAGGAAATTCAAATTCTAAGGCCCTATTCTATTTTTTAAGACAAGATTCCATTGCTGTGACCAGGAAAATTGTGTTTAGAACCAGGAGGGTTCTTAAAGGTCATCTAATCCAGCTCCTTCATTTTTTTGTTGTTGTTGTTCAGTCATTTTTCAGCTATGTCCAACTCTTCAGTGACCCCATTTGAGGTTTTCTTGGCAGAGATAATGGAGCGGTTTGCCATTTCCTTTTCCAGCTCATTTTACAGATGAGGAAACTGAGGCAAACAGGGTTAAGTGATTTGCTAGGTTAAACAGGGTTAAGTCACACAGCTAGTAAGTGTCTGAGGCCAGATTTGAACTCACAAAGATGAATCTTCCTAATTCCAGGCCCAGTGTGCTGCATCACCTACTGCCCAATAAGGAAATTTAAACCCACAGAAATCAATAAGCAATTCTGTCTCATAAACAATGTAGCCCAGTGAATGGGGCACTGGATTATTTTTTTTTAAGTCGGGAAGCCCTGGATTCAAATTCTGCCTCAGGTACTTACTAGCTATGCCTCAGTTTCTTCATCTGTTAAATATGAGTGTGAACTCAATGGCTATTGAGCTTCCTTCCAGCTGTAAACCTATGATCTTTAAGTTCCTTTCCAGCTCTAAATCTTGACTTTCCTGTTTTTAGAACTATAGAATGTTTGAGCAGAAAGGGATCCTTGAACATAGAGCACAAATACCAGAGTCTGAAGAGACCTAAGAGAACATCCCATCCAAGGGGGCTAAGGCTCAGAAAAGCCAAGTGACTTTCTCAATGTCACACAGCTCTGTGATAACAGGGTCAAGAGGAAACCCCAGGTTGTGTGTCTCCAGGCCTCACACGTTTTCTGCTCCATGGGGTCAGTAGCTTTCTGGGCCTTCCTCCTCATCTTTGAAAGGAGGATAGCATTAAGATGATCTCCTAGAGATTCTTCCGGGTCTAAAAATCTGTGAATCCAAGGAAAGAAAGAAAGAAAGAAAGAAAGAAAGAAAGAAAGAAAGAAAGAAAGAAAGAAAGAAAGAAAGAAAGGAAGGAAGGAAGGAAGGAAGGAAGGAAGGAAGGAAGGAAGGAAGGAAGGAAGGAAGAAAGGGAGGGAGGGAGGAAGGGAGGGAGGGAAGGAAGGGAGGAAGGAAGGAAGGAAGGAAAAAAGAAAGGAAGAAAGGAAGGAAAGAAGGAAGGAAGGAAGGAATGAGAGAGAAAGAGAGAGAAGGAATGAAAGAAAAAGAAGGAAAGAAGGAAGAAAGGAAGGAAACTGGAACTCTTCTAGCTTATTCTAAACAAAGCCTTTTGCTAGGCAGTCTTGACTTTTAATTGCTCTCTATTTCAGGCACCAACAACCCTATTATGATTTTTTGTTGCTGTCTCACTCTGGTCTATTTTCATCTTGAACAAAAGATTCCTGACACTGGCAGCTGGGTTCTAGCTCCTCAGCCAGCATGACCAGCAGCAGCCACTCTGTCTTTGCACCCACAACAGCTGCTACGTAAAACACTTTAACATGAATTGCTCTCTGTAAAACCAAGCTCTTCTCTCTATGCAAAAATGGGATAGGTTTTAGGCAATCAGAACAAGTGGTGGCGTCTGTTTAGGGACTGGTTTACATCTAGAAATCAACTGCATCAATTGCAGTCAGCCAGACAGCGGCAGCCTTGTCAGTTGGCTATGGTCTCCTTGTCTCCCTGCTGTTAGAGTAATCGTTTTCCACCCTGTATGGGTCGACATTGAAGGTGTGAGAAAAAAGGAGCTCTCCGATTCCCATGTGATTTGCTAGTTTAAAGCCAAATCTCTGCATCTTTAAAATATGATTGGCCAGTTCTGTAATTTCACTTCACACACACACACACACACACACATTTCAGTCAAAATATCTTTCAAATCATCCCTCTGACACTCTATGGGCAAAACAGCAGGATGTTTGACTGAACTTTTGTCCCTCTAATGGCCTTTCTGGAGCCAGAGCCTTTGAAATCACTCTTCAGCTTTTGATACTATTAACCAAGCCCCACTCCCTCTTTCAGGATATGCTGACCTCCTTCAACTTTCAGGAAAATGCTGTCTCCTGGTACTCCTCCTATCTACCTGACCACTCCTTCTCATACTTCTGTTCATTATCATCGTATCATCATCCATTTCCTGTCCCCAAGCCCACATGTATCCTAGGGCTCTGTCTTGATTTTCTTTTCTATTCTTTCTTCTTCCATTTCCTTCTCTGTCTCTGTCTCTGTCTCTCTGTCTCTGTCTCTGTCTCTGTCTCTGTCTGTGTCTCTCTCTCCCTCATCCCCTAAACATGAATGCTAGTACTTGAGGAAAGTGGTTTCTAAACCTTAGTGCTAGAAATGTGAGTCATTATATAAGTATTATGATCCACTTCTGACATATGGGGAAACTGAGACTCGGGTTGTTTACTGTTTTACCCAAGGACACAAAACCAGTAGGTAGCAGAGATGGGGCAAGAACCCAGTTCTTCTGACTGAACCTAATAATCTTTTTCTCTTGGATCGCTTAGAGTTCTAACATTTTATCATTCCCATTCTGCCTGGTTTGACAGTTTCATTTTGAAAACTATTTACACTTCCCCAAAGTGAATAACTAGGAGCTTTAAAACCATGGTGACAGGAGTGGGCATGATTTTTCTAATGAAGTTTGACATGGTGAACAAAATGTCAGAAGGAAAGATGAAGGTATTAAAATTCTCCCAAACGAATGAACTTGGACATCTTATATTTCTCATGATTAATTTCATTTCTGTCACCACCTTTTATAGCGGATCATAACTTTTTTCTCCAAGAAAATTATGGGAAAAATAACCTGGCTTTACTTTTATATAGCAGCTATAAATTTCTCCCCAGACCAAGGGCTGTTAATTTAGCAATGAAAATGTAATCAAAGTTTTTAAGGACTTGGAATAATTTTAGCTTGATTATTATGAAATATTTTATGTAACCATATATTTCTCTCTCTTCCAGACAGATCAGTTTGAAGGATTTAAGCGATGTAAGTAGGCATCTCCTTCAGTACCATAAAAAAATGATAAAGGGGAACAAATTCTATATTACGAAAGCACATGCTTTTACAGTAGTCTAGGTATCTGCAACTGAACTGATTTAAACAGACCATACCATTACACAATAGAGACCTTTTCAAGTAAAGAGAAAGTATATCTTTCAATGTCACAGAACTTTCAGCAAGAGACACATAAAATATACCGGAAACCTTCGTATGATGTTATTTAGCATAGCACAAAACTCATTGTAAGTCGTGGATTATACCATCTGTTAAGGGTTAGTATAGAGGCAGTGTGTTTTCGTGGCAAGACCCCTAACCTTGGAGTAAGATGCAATGGGTCCAGTGTGAACTACATGACCTGAGACAAGTCACTTAACCTCTCAAGTCCTCTGTTACTTTAGCTGTAAAATGAAGGGGTTGTATTAGAAGATCTCCAGAGACTCATCCATCTCCTGCATTCCCTGATTCTATGAAATGAGGCACTTAAAGTGGCACCTTAATGAGGCATTCTAGGAAAGGTGGTCCTACAGTTTGCACAGCATTACAATGAGGGCCAAGAGTTTTAATTATAATGTCTATGATTCGTAAAACTACAATTAAGTTCCTTTTTCTATACATTAGTGCCTTGCCTTTGTTAATTATCTCCAATATCCTGCCTATATCCTGTTGATATAATTGTTTGCGTGTTAGATTGTGAGCTCCTCAAGGTCAATGACTGTCTTTTGCCTTTCTTTGTATCCCTATCACTTAGCACAGTGCCTGGCACATTGCAGGCACTTAATAAATGCTTACTGACTGACTAATAGAAATTATTAATAAAAAACAAATAAGGGAAGAAACTGTCTCAAGGATACTTAACAAATCATCGATCTTAGCACTAATTCAGCTGGTACAAATCGTAACACCTCCATTCTTTTTTATCCCTAGTACAAATCTTGTTTACATCTCTTTTGCAGAACCTACACAGAGTATCTCAACAATGTGCTTGAGCTGATCCTGTCAATATTTCATGAATACCAGTGCAGCAGTTGGGTTGTCCATTACTCATTCTTATAAGTAGACCAAAACCCATCTCTTTTCCCAATCATATAGAAACTTGACTGTCTTTTATCCCACTTCTCACACATAAATAACCATTCAGATTACACTGTAGCCTACTTAGGTCCGCTGTATGTGTTTCCATTGCTCCTTAAGTCTCTTATGATTTTGATTCTTCTGAGATCATGGTATTCTGTAATTTGCAACTATAGAGAATCAGTAGGAGGATACTTGCATTAAAAAGATGGGCTTTTGTAGCAGCAAGCAGGTTGCTATCATTGGAATTACTGTACAATTTTCTAAGAGCAGTACAATAGGAATTCTTAATCCTGTTCAATTTGGGCTCCTATTATTGTCAATATTGCAGATTGACAATACATCCAGGATACATTAATGTACTAGTATTCTGATATGCTGTTGGATTAGTTCAATGAGTTATCAAACAACCTTCATAGCATAACCTGTGCAATACACATTTTTATCTACTTTATTTTTCCATAGTGGATAACTAAGATTAATTATTTTGAATGATGGTAGATTTCATTGACTCTATCCCCCGAACCATCTTGAGCTCTGACTGGTAAGGTTTTGACTTATTTTGCCTTGATCCAGGCTTTCACTTCACTGTCTTACTATCCCCACCTGGGCTAACATTTTCAACCCCTCCGCACCATAACCTTTGGTCAGGCTTGTGAGAAGAGGTGCCTAGCTCTGACTTCCCCATTAGTGATAATGATGAGGTCAAGGGGCACAATTAGCCCTGGAACAACCCTGGGTTCTGATCAGAGAGCTTTTGCCTTATCTTGTCTGACTCTGGTTTCCTTCTCATTTCTTGGCCATCTCCATACCACAAACAGGTTCCTCCCTCCCCAGCTCCCCCCTTCCTCCACCTTATCCCTTCTAGCTATCCTATATGTGTTGGGGAACCTTTATTATGTTAAGGGAAGACCCTTATTAGAATGGAAACTTCTTGAGAGCAGAGACTGTCTTGCTTTCTTATATAAGTATCCTCAGCACTTAGTGCAGTACCTGGTATATAGTGAGTAGATAATAAATGCTCTCTCTATCTGTCATTGAGGAAGTACTGTAGTGTTCCCAGGACTTGATAAAATCAGAACAATGTTGTCCCTGGACAGGAGCATCTAGAGAATTCCTCTAATAATAGAGACTCCATCTTCTCCTTGGACATTGTGCAGGACATATTTTTTAATTTGGTGTGTATCTTAACCTTTGTACTAACTAGCTACGAATGTAAATGTATGCAGGCCCTGGCAAACACTTTAAATGAGTGTGTACGTGTGTATGTGTGTGTGTGTGTGTGTGTGTGTGTGTGTGTGTGTGTGTATGAAAAATCATGGTCTCTCTTTAAAAAGTCTTTGATCACAAGCTTTGGATCCAGAAAAAAAAAATTGAGAAAATTCACCTTCCTCCCTTCTTTGCAGATGTGAGGAGATATGACTATAAAAAACCCTAATTGCACATATATAATTGGTGCTATGATCACCCCCGTTTTACAGTTGAGGAAACTGAGATAGATAGCGTTTAAGTGACTTGTCTAGGGACAAATGACCAGTTTGCATCTAGGCTTGATTTTATAATATAATTAAGAAGGAAAATTATGAGGGATATAAATAAATCTGGGAAGATCTTTATTATCCTTGGTGTAAAAAAAAAAAGCAGAACCAGAAGAATAGAGTACATAATAATTATGGGTCATATGATAAAAAGTGAATGATAATGATTCAAGAAAAATTGTGATGAGTCCTTAGAGGGAGGGATTGGAAAAATGTAATCATACCTGTGTTGAAACCAGTTAAATTAAATGTTAAAAGTTAATAAGCAAATTTCATTGTTTATATTGATGTTAAATGTTATTTCTAATAAGGCAATAATTTTTAAAAGGACACCATTGGATTTACAGCTTAAAGAAACTTTAGAACCATCTAGCCCAGCCTCCTCATCTTAGAGGTGAAAAAACTGAGGCCAGAGAAAGAGAAATTAATTGCCCAAAATCATATAGGAGGTAAATAAAAATTAATAATTACTTATTAAGTGCCTACTATGTTCCAGACACTGTGCTAAGCTCTGGGGATACAAAAAGAAGCAAAAGACAGTCCCTAACCTCAAGGAACTTACAGTCTGATGGGGAAGACATGAAGCAAATAAATGTGTACAAACCAACCACATACAGGATAAATAAGAAATAATCAAAAGATGGAAGGCATTGGAATTAGCAACGTTTGGGGAAAGGCTTCCTATAGAAAATGGGATTTTAGTTGAGACTTAAAAGAAGCCAGGAAAGCCATTAGGCAGAAATGACGAGAGAAAGCATTACAGACATGGAGGATAGCCAGACAAAATGCCCAGAGCCAAGAGGTAAATTATTTTGTCCGCAGAACAGCAAGGAGACCCCTGTGTCACTGGATCAAAGACTGCATGTTTGGGAGTAAGGGGTAAGAAGACTAGCAAGGTAGAGGCAAGAGAGCTAGTTTATAAAGGTCTTTGAATGCCAGAGGATTTGGTATTTGATCCTGAAGGCAATAGGGAGCCATTGGAGTTTAATGGAGGATGAGAGGGGTGTGGTGACATACTTAAACCTGCTCTTTAAGAAAATCCCGCTGTTGCCTGAATGGAAGATGAATTGGACTGGGTAGAGAGTAAAGGCAGGTAGCTAACATCAGGCTGTTGCAATAATCCAAGTATGAAGTGATGAGGACCTGTACCAGAGTGGTGACAATATTAGAGGAGGAAAGGGGGTATATTAGAGAAATGTTGTAAAGGTGAAAGCTATAGCCTTTGGTAACAGATTGGCTATGGGGCGAGGGGTGGGAGGGAAGAGTAATGAGAAATAGTGAGGAGTTGAAGATGATACCTGGGTCGTGAGCCTGAGGAGCTGGGAGGATGGGGCTGCCCTCTACAGTTATAGGAAAGGTGTCAGGGGATTATTGAGGGGGAAAGATAATGAGTTCAGTTTTGGACATGTTGAGTTTAAGATGTCTACTGGATATCCAATCTGAAATGTCTGAAAGGTAATTGGATATGTGAGATTAGAGGTCAGCAGAGAGGTTAGGGCAGGATAGGTAGATTTGAAAATCATCAGCATAGAGATGATAATTAAATCTATGGGAGCTGATCACCAAGTGAAATAATACAGAGGAAGAAGAGAAGAGGGCCCAGGGCAGAATCTCGCAGGACATCTGCAGTTAGAAGGTGTGATCTGGAGAAGCATCCAGCAAAGGAGACAGAGGAAGAAGTCTGATAGGTAGGAGGAGAACCAGGAGAGAGTGGTATTCTGAAAACCTTGAGAAAAGAGAGTGTCGAAGAGGAGAGGGTGATGAACCATATCAAAGGCTACAGAAAAAGTCAAGAAGAAAGAGGCTTGAGAAAAGGCATTTGGATTTGGCAATTAGTAACTTTTGGTGGAATGATGAGGTCAAAGCTAGTGGAGTTAAGAGTGAGAGGAGAGGAGAGGAAGTGGAGACACCTACTGTAGATAGCCTTTTTGAGGAGTTTAACCACAAAGGTGAGAAGAGCTGGAATTTAGACACAATTCTCATTGACTCCCATGACAGCACTTGGCTTCAATGGACTATGTGAAAGTCATGGAGACTCAATTACTGGCCCATTTTCATACAGCAAGTATAGAGCATTTCCAATATACTCCATTCACGGCAATTAGTCTTGCGTTCATCCTCAGCGAATGTAAAATTAATGTTAACTACTGATGACAAAGTATATAAAGCACTGTGGAATAGCCTTGAAAATATCCTGCTGAGGGTTGGGTTGCTTATTGAATCCAGTTTACAATTCCTATATTTAGAGCTGGAATGAATATGTTAGAGCAGTGGTGTCCAACTCAAATAGAAATGGGGGCCATGAAATCATCCATAAGGATTCCTGCAGTTCACATATTGTCTGAGAAAAACACATATTAATATCATATATTCCATTGTAGGACAGCTAGGTGACATAGTGGGTATAGCTCAAGGCCTAGAGTCAGAAAGACTCATCTTCATGAGTTCAAATCCTGCCTCAGACACTTACAAACTGTGTGACCCTGGGCAAATCACTTAACCCTGTTTGCCTTAGTTTCCTTATCTGTAAAATGAACTGAAGAAGAAAATGGCAAATCACTCCAGTATCTCTGCCAGGAAAACCCCAAATGGAGCCATGAAGAATCAGAAACAACTGAACAACAACAACAATATTCCATTTTATTTTTATTATTTATTTTATTTTATTAATTATATATTCATTGTTATTTAATAATAAATGTATTTATTTAGAATTATTATATTATAATTTCCCACTTACATTTAATCTGGTTCCATGGCACTGGGGAGTGGTATAGGCTGTATTTTTGACACCTCTGCTTTAGAGGTCATCTTATCCAACCCCTTCATTTTATAGTTGAGGTCCTGAGAAATTAATTGACTTGATCACTAAGCTAATAATTAGCAGATGTAGGATTTGAACCCAGTTACTTTACCTCTAAAACGAGCACTGTTTCTGCTGAACTATGCTGAGGCTGCATGGTAATACAGCTGGTATGTGAAAGATCAAAAACTAGAGCTCAGTTCTGAAGCCAAGTCTTAAGCTCTTTCCATTACAAAAGACCAAGGTCACATCAAAGATTTTGCATTCCAATTTATAGTATGAAACTTACTTCAGGGAATGGAATAAGTCATGAGGGTTTTTTGTTTTTTGTTTTTTTGCCTGATCTGCGTTTTGAAAATTTTTTAACTTCATCCATGTGGGGAACTCCAAGCCTAAGGTTACAAATTCTAAATGAAAGTACACATCAATTACAGAGCATTTAGAAACCCTAAGGTGGCCAATTAATGATTACCAGAAAGGAGATACTAAGAATCAAAATGACTAACCCACTTTTCTTCCCAAAGTAATCTTTCTTAACCAGGACAATTTACCCTGGTTATAAAAATAAGTCTGGGTCAGTTTTGTCTGAACTCTTTTTCTCTTATTGAATTTTATTTTATTATTTCTATTCTGAAATTCCTATTATTGAATAATAATAATATTACCTACGTATTTTCAAGTTTCTATTATTGAATCTTCTGGGAATTTCTATTTTTGAGTCATTTAGAATCATTGTTCTTATTCTTTCTATACAGGTGCATCAAGGAGATAAAGGTACATTCATTATATTATTTGGTTATAATATTTTCTTACATATCTATACTTGGATTATAAGTGCTTCAGGTCAAGGAATCCTATTCATTATTTTAATCACAGAAGAACCTGTATATGTGTGTCACTTTGTCTTTGCATCCGTAGAGCTCAGTGTGCAGCCAACTCTAATCTATGCAAAGAAAGAGTTCACAAACAAAATTAAAATTTACCCATATACCAAAACCCATACTCTATCCATTAGTTTCAACCTTGTGTTACACAATTTTTTTTTCACTAGAGATAAAACCAAGAATCATTAGTCCCCAGCCATTCCCTTCCTACTTATAAACAATTTGGCCACATACAAATGTTCACCTTCAGAGACTCCAGCTTCAGGGCCTCTTTTCCTTTGCTTCAGACAGTTTCCAAACTAGTGTTCCACCATACTTCTGATCCTCACAGAGATATGAGGTCCTTTTGTTGTCAATAGGTTAGATATTGGTCAGTAGGTTAGATTTTAAATCACATTCTATTGATACTGTGAAAGTAGCGATAGCTAGGGTGGAAGGGGAAAGGGTGGATAATGTGGGGGTGGGGAGGTGGGGGTATAATTAGGGATGTGAAGGGGGGTGTAAGCATAGAGATAGTGTGGGTAGAGTGGTGGACAAACAGCTGGCTGAACTCTTGAACGACAAGATAAAATCAGAAATCTTTGGCACCCTCACTAAAGATAACAGGCAGGCCAACTTTCAAAGGGACAGAGGTTAGTTATTACTGTCTCTCTTCCTTCCCATTATATGTGAGGGTCAAAGGTAGCTTCCCAACATTGCTAGTCTCCTACGAAGAAATCTCCCCACCCCTTGCTTGCAAGCATCTTACACAGGTATCATCTTCTTCTCTTCCTCTAATCATATGAGAAAAACAAGAATCAGAGAATTTCACAAAATCATGGAATCTTAGAATTAGAAGAGATCAAATAGGCTATCTATTCCAATTTCAACCTGAATGAGGAAACAATCCCTTCTATAACCTCCCCAGGGCAGCTATGTAGCACAGTGAATAGAGCACCAGGCCTGAAGTCAGGAAAACTTGAGTTCAAATCTGGCCCCAGACACTTACTAGCAACATGACCCCAGGCAAGTCACTTAATCCTGTTTGCCTCAGTTTCCTCATCTGTAAAATGAGCTGTAGAAGAAAATGGCAAAACACTCCACTGTCTTTGCCAAGAAGACCACAAATGAAGACCTGAAGAGTCGGACATAACTGAAACAACTGAACAATAATGCCCCCAGCAAATAGTCATCCTTCCTCTTCTTAAACCCCTTCAGTGACAGGGAAGTCACCAACCTCCACAGCAGACCATTCAATTGTTGGCTAGATTTAATTAGTAAGGAATTTCTCCCATATACTGTGGCAAAAATCTGTCTCCCTGAAACTTCCACACATAGTTCCTACTTCTGTCCTTGGAGGCCAAGCAAAATAATTCTTATTTCATCTGACATATGAAGTCTCTTCAGATATTTGAGGAACTGTGATCACATACCCTCCAAGCCCTCTCTTCTCCAGCTTAAAAATGCATACTCTTTTTTCAAAGCTTAGAGATCACTGAGTTCAAGTTAGCATTCTCCTCTTTCCCTAGCAAGGCCAAAAAACTTTTTTGGACCAAAAAGGTTTAGGGAACACTTTTCGGAAAAAAAAAATCCTAAAGCATCTAGGAGCTAAGGATGTCTATTGCCTATGGCCTGGGGGTCAAGGTGAGCTTCAGAATGGATGTTTTAGAGTCTCCATAGACCTGTTAGAAGCTGGAGGTGCCATTCCAATGAGATATGGATTGTGTTTGGTCAAAATTATAGTATCTCCCATGTGCTCTATAATTTCACTCAATCATCTGTCATTTGTGATTTGGATGGAATTGTATTTGTTTATGAAGTTCCAGATCACCTGAAGAGGCCTGTTGTGCCTTGCCAGACACAGCATCATCTGAAGGATCATTCTGTTCCTGTTGCCAGGTAGGACCCTGGGAATTCCCTTCCTAGATTATGGCTTATGGGCTCATGACAATTTACAATGTCTCATAATTATGTGTGAAATGATGCATGAGAAGAAGTGAAAAAAAAAACTATGGATATCTATATTGTGAAGGGGAAGGAGACAGAAAGCCTTAGTGATGGTTGCCTGCCCTAGAAAGCCATGAGGAAAGGTGGTTATTAAAGGCAGTCTCACTGAACTTCCTTGTTGTAATATAGGTAATTGATAGGGGGCTTCTGAGGACTCAGAGGTTCTCTAGCTGGACGCACACATACACACACACACACACACACACACACTTCTTCTTCAAAGGACTAAGTATTATTTAACACTGATACTAAGCAATTGGAGTAAGAAAGATTGGAAATGTCTTTAACTCTTTATTAAATTTTAGTCTTTCCAATTAATAAATTTATTTTCTCTCCCTCCTACCTCCCCCAAAACCCCCTCCAAAAAAAAACTGCACATACACAGTGAAAACAAAAACAAAACCCTTGTAACAAGTATATGATATAAGCCAAACAAATTCCTGTGTTGGTTGTACCAAAAAATACCTATCACAGTCTATACCCTGAGCCCATCACCTTCCTGATCGAATGGAAATGGGTAGGATTTTTGATCATTGGTCTTCTGGAATCCTCCTGGTTGGTCATCTCATTGATCAATATGTTTAATTTTTTCTTTCACATTTTTAGGTATCAGAGAAGGATTTTTGAGGAGGGGTAATAATGTTAATAACAAATGATATGATATATCACCATGAAGGTTTGTAGACCAAAAGCAGTATGACGTAGTCTTGGAGTCAGGAAGACTTGGGTTTAAGTCTTGCTTCTCATACATACTGGCTATGTTACCCTTGGCAAGTTATTTAATCCTTTAGTGCTCCAAGCCACTCTCGGAGGCTCTAAGTTGCAGAGAAATTGCTTCCTTATATTAGTAGGAAGGATTTCCTCATTCAAGGAGTTCCCTATAACATTGAAATCACAGATCCAGTCTTTAACCCTATGCCTAAGATTTTCATAACACCTTCTTCACAATAATCATACAAGGGAGGTAGTTCAAGTAAGACTATCCCATTTTCACATGTGAATAACACATACTATGGATGCAGCATGATATAGATAGGAAAATTCTGGGCTTAAGAGTCAGAGGACCTATGTTCAAATCCTGCTCCTGCCTCCTCCTCCCTGTGTAGCCTCAGGCAGATGATTTAGCCTCTCTGGGCCTCCCAGACCTGAAATGTCCTCTCCCTCTCCCATCTCTAAGTCCCTCCCCTCCTCTAAAGCCTAACATCCAAATTTAACCTCCACAAAGTGATCCCCAGGTCTTCCTTCAACTCTCCTAGGTGAAAGTGATTTCTACTTCTTTGAACTTCTTCCAACATTGTGTTAGACAATAGTATGTATTTTTTATTGATCTCATTGTCCTTTCTGTTCCAGCTATGTGTGTCTTTGTCCTCTAGTCCCCAGAGAGATTGCTAACTCCTTGAAAGCAGGGCCTGCGCCATATCTGTCTTTGTATCCACAGTGCTGAGCACAATGCTTGGCACATGGCAGGCATTGAATACGTGTTTGTTTGGTTGAACTAAAAATGATCTATTTGAGCTATAACGATTTCCCCCACAAAAACAATATCAGATTTCCTTAAACCAGAAGTTTTTTGAAAATTGAACAGGAGAACCTAATTTCACAATTAAGAAAATGACAGCCTCTGTGAGGCTATGAGAACTCTACCAAACTGTTTCTTTCCCAAACATTTTTGCCATCATTGAAAAGGCCAGTTCTTTTTGAAACAAGACTAAAAAGATGGAAATGCCCAATTGACTTTGAAGCCTGGGGTAATAGAGACAGCAGTGGACTTAGCCTGAGGTGACCTGACCTTAAGCCAGCCCTCCAATGATTCTTAGCCATGGGGGTCTTTCACCTCACCTATTAAACAAGAATAACAATTATGTGGTACTTGGGGTACTCCTACTCAAAACTATAGTTCATGAGTCCTGAATGATGGTTTATTTTAACAAGCCAGTCAGATGATGAGAAGAACATTAGTGACCAAAGAATTAACATGCATGGAGAGAACACAAATAGAAAGCACCTGTAGTTAGGAAATACACTGTTTGTGGTTGTTTAGTCATTTTCAGTCATCTCTTACTCCCTGTGACCCCATTTGGGGTTTTCTTATCGGATATAATAAAATGGTTTGCCATTTCCTCCTCCAGCTCATTTTACAGAAGAGGAAACTGAGGCAAACAGGGTTAAGTGACTTGTCCAGGGTCACAAAGCTAGTAAGTGTTTGAGGCCAGATTTGAACTTCCTGAACTTCCTGACTTCAGTCTTGGCACTCTATCCACTGTGTTCCCTATCTTGTTTGGCCAAGGTACACACATCATCTATGCCAGGGGTGGGGAACCTGTAGCCTGGAGGCTCTTTGTAAGGGCCACACTTGAGACCTAGAGGGCCACATGTGGCCTCAAGGCCGCAGGCTCCCCACCCCTGGTCTATGCCCCCCTTCACAGGCTGTATGAAAATTTATGGGACACCATACCCCGTATTTGCTGTACTGCTTGATTAAAAAGCTTTTGTTTGGACTATTGTGTCTCCTGGATGGCTAGTAGAAGTAAATACATCAGTGGGGGCTCATGAGTCATGATTTTGAGTAGGTATTGACCCCTAAATCACTTGAATCTAAGGTAGGTTTCTAGTGGGCTCATATTTCAGATAGTCTCAGGTTCCAAACTTGCAAAAAACTACTTGACAGGGGGTTAATGAGGAAAGCAGTTTATGAACTTTAAAGCACTATATAAATGTAAGCTATTACTATAATACCATCACCTATTACTTGAAATCATTTTTTTTTTTGCACTACAATGTTCAATCATTTCTCCAAGGACATTTCTCTCCCAACATTGTTCTGAATTCATCTAAGTTCCTCAAAGGCAGAGACTATTTTGTTTTATCTCTGTAATCTCAGCACATAGCAGAGTCTATTACACATAGTAGGTGCTTTAATAAATATTGGTTTACTTCAATTTGGAGATCAAGGAAAAAATTCAGAGAAATTGATTTTAATCAGATTATGTACCTAGTATTTGAAAAAGAGTTCTGATCTTTTTTGTCCTGTTTCCTTTTGATTCATGGGTCTTGAAATCAATAGAAGTTTGGCGTGAAAGAGGGAGACAGAATTAAGACCATATTTTTGTGATTGTATGAACTGTTAGCATTTGAATCTGCAATGAGCACACTGTTACTCCAGGTCTCTTTTTAGGACAATGGAAACCAGAAATATACAGTATGTTTATTGGGTTGAGTTTTTTTTAATTAAGCCAAAGAACTAGCCAATAATAAAAACACATTTCTAGATCATATGTCAGTTTAATTTAAGTGCTGAGCAGATCACTGAAGGCTGGATGATATAGGAGATCAGAGTGAAATTATATCTCAGGAGAGCAATTATGAAAAAAAAATCCCTATAAAGTCCTGTCTCATTTGGGTTTTAAACTTAGTGTTAGAATCTGTTTAAAATAATTATGACTATTATATTGCTCTTTTTTTTTCAAGCTTTCTTTCTCTTGGCATCTGTAGCCTATGTTTAATTTTAACCCTCTTAGTGATTGTCTTTTCTCCCACTCCCCACCCCCCACAAGTACCTAGCACGGAATTTGATGCATTGTACAAATACTTAACAAATACTTGTTGAATGAAAAAGACCAGCAGGAACTCGTAAATTGAGAGAAGGAAGACAATAACCAAGACATGTTTCGTGTCATTTCTAGTCTGAGAAAAAAGTGGTGTACACAGTTAAATATGATACAAATTTCAATAGAATAATAATCACTCATATTTCTAAAGTATTATATGGGTTACAAAGGGTTAATCTTCATAACAACTGTGAGCTACAGGAGGGCATTAAGTATTATTAAGCAGCTAGGTGGTACAATGGATAGAGGGTTGGGCCTGGAGTCAGGAAGAACTGAGTTCAAAGACAGCATCAGAAACTTACTAGCTATGTGACCCTGGGCAAGTCACTTATTTGCTTCACTGTCTTTAGCTATAAAATAGGGATAGTGATAGCACCTCCTTCCCAGGGTTGTTGGGAGGATCAAATGAGCAAATACTTGTAAAAAGTGCTTAGTACATTGGGTGACATACAGTAAGTACTTCATAAATGCTTGTTTATCTCCATTTTGCAAATGAGAAAACTGAGACTTAGAGAGGTGAAATGACTTGTTCAAATCACACAAGAAGCAAAGGACAGAGCCAGAATTCAAGCTCAGGTCTCCCCCATCCAAGTCTTGAGCACTTTTGACTATAGCCTTTTATATTATAAATGAAGTACAGAGTGCTATGAGATTGGGGGAGGTCAAGGTCATTTCCATCTTTCTTACACCTATTTCTTTTGATGATCTCATCCACTCCCACATCTTCAACTAACATCTTTCAGCAGACAACTCCCAAATCCCCATGAGCTCTGTGCACTTTTCTGCTTTGATCCATGTGTATGTCTGGTGGATGCACAAGCCTAGCATGGCCAAATGTGCCCCCATCCACAGGCAGAAGAAATAAGATCAATTCAGATATGGAAAATAAAGACCTATAGAGTATGTCAGCTTAAGACATCAGAGAAATTCCCCTTATGCTGGTTGTTATCCAACTTTATTTTTTTTTCTGAAGATGATAAGAGGGAAAGACCTTACATGAAAGAAAAAGTATTTCAAAATAATGACCCTTGAGATGTTTTCTTGGTTTGGGTCCCATGATTTCTTCACTCAATATTTTATGCTTCCAGGACAACACTAACTTTATCTTTAACCAAATCTTTCTCTTAGTTCTCTGTTTATGATGGCTGACCCAAGTTTTCAAGGCAAAGGTAAGATCACTTCATATAAAAACTACCAGGTGGCAGCTAGGTGGCACAGTGGCTAGAACACCGGCCCTTAAGTCAGGAGGACCTGAGTTCAAATCCGGCTTCAGACCAAACACTTGACACTTACTAGAATAATGTGTGTGACGCTGGGCAAGTCCCTTAACTCCAATTGCCTAAGAACAACAACAACCAAAAAAAAAAACCAAAACCCACCAAATGAGCAGGTAATCTTAACGACACAAACATGTATAATGGAGCTTTGTTCTCCCTCTTTATTCACTCACTACATGATCTTGGCAGCTTTCACAGCTCACATTTAGATAGTGACACATACTTTATACTCTGTAACAGCAATCCTATGAGGAAAGTAGTTCAAAGATCAGTCTCCCCCTTTTACAGAAAAGGAAATGGAGGTTCAGAGGGGCGCTGTTACTTGCTTGTGATCACACAGCCAGTAAATGAAGTCAGAATTGAAATCTAGGCCTTCTGATTTAAATTCCAGAACCTCTTATTGAGCCACTATGATTTGGCATTCTGAGTCACCCTCCTGCTTACTCTGCAGAAGCAGAGAGCACAAGACTAGAACTAGAGTAGTCAGGGGCTCTGAGTTTGGTATAAAGTAATTATAGGCAGTTGTCAGTCTCTCCCTGTACCCCTTTCCCTCATCTTGGTAGACCACTCCTTCCCTCCAAGCACACCACCTTGTGACTGCATATAGATAACTGAGTAGGAAATGTGGAAACCACATCACTATCCATTAATTTCCTATATGTTGAAACAGAAGCAAAAAAATAAGGGCAGCTAAGTGGCATGGTAGATAGAGCTGTCATGTTGTGTACTGCAGCACATCATTCAGGGCCTTGTTCTTCCTGGTGATCTGACCTAGAAACTCCTAGATTCTCAAAGGATATGCTAACAAAGCACCAACTTTGGCAGGTGATGTCATCCTGGAAAGATTCCAAGTTTGGGCCTACATCTGCTTTCTGAGGATCAGCCTATATCATCAATAGGAATATCCATCAGTCTTATGGGGTGTTCTGCTTCTGAAGTAATGGAGACAGAAAGGAGAAAGGGGGGACAGAGGATGCTAAGTTTTTAAGAAGATCACATAGTTTTTAGACTGTCTTTATATATTAAGAATTAGTTTGTTTGTTTGTTTGTTTGTTTGTTTGTTTTTTAGGCAATTGGGGTTAAGTGATTTGCCCAGGGTCACACAGTTAGTAAGGGTCAAGTGTTCGATCTGAAGCCGGATTTGAACTCAGGTCCTCCTGACTTCGGGGCCAGTATTCTATCCACTGCACGACCTAGCCACCCCAATATTAAGCATTAGTATTCCCAGTGTCAGCTCCTCATCCAATGACTAACAACTGGGTATGGTATGAGAGAAACTAAATTATATCAAGTTTGACATCTTTATATAACTGAAACCAGAAGAAAAGGAAGTTCAGCTAAATGGAAGGATGGCTCCCATGCTTTCCTTGGAGAAGCAAAGGAAAGAGTGGAGGTGGTTTTAGCATGTAAAAAGAAATGTCATGTCATGGGCTATTCTGTCATTGTATGTTGCAATATTCATTATAAGCATTAGCAAAAAAGAAAAGGCCACTATGAAAATAATTGCAGCTTGTATGCCAATATCTATTGCAAAGGAAAAAACAGAAAAATCTACCAAGAATGCTATAAGACTTTTCATATTAAATGAATATACAGTTGAAAATGTTATGACTTTTTATGCAAAGGTAGGCAAATGGGAGGAGTGTAAAAATACATATTGGAAAACATGGTTCAGGAGTAAGAAATATTAGAAGCCAAAGATTTGTGGACTACAGAGCAGCCCCATATCTTGGGTCATAAACACTTTTCAGAGTCAAGAGGTATTGAAAAGGAGGAAAATAAAATGACAACAAACAAAAAAAGAAATTGATTATATTTTAACATATGTTGTTCAGTCATATCAGACCCTCTATGACCCCATTTGGGTACTGGAGCTGTTTCTCATTTCTTCTCCAGCTCTGTTTTACAGATGAGGCAAACCGAGGCAAATGGTTAAGTGAGTTGCCCAGGTCCACATAGCTATTAGTGTCTGAGGTTGGATTTGAACTCAGGAAGAGGAGTTTTCCTGACTCCAGGGCTAGCACTCTATCTACTGTGCCACCTAACTGACCCTATTTTAACATATAGGAAATTACTGAATAGTGATCTCGTTTCCATATTTCCTGTTCAGTTATCTGCATACAGTCAGACCACTACTGCTAGAGCAGCACTGCTGAACAGGCAAAAAAAAAAAAAAAATGGACCAGCCACAAAAAAAAATTGAAATATTTTTAATTTTAAAGTAATCTTCTATGACGTACTCACAAGAAGAGAAAGAATATATCAATAATTTCCATTTTCATCTCCCAAATATGCTTCTTCTATTGTCCATATGGAATAGGTCTTCTAGGGCCAAATATATTACGCGACTTGAAATATTACTTTGGTACAATTCATAGTTATGTCTGGTTTGTGATAATTTGAGATAAAAACCATAAGCAATCCAGACAATGAAAACCAGCTTTGAAATGTGCCAGGTAAAGCACTAGGGGAGAGGCAGCCCATAGGTTCTGGAGTCAGGAAACCCAGCTCAGCAACTTAGCTCCTACTTGTTTGAGATTGAGCAGTTCTACCCTTTGAATCTCAATGTCCTCTTCTCTAACATTAGAGGGTTGGACTAGGTGACCTTTGAGGTACCGTCTCACTTTAATATTCTATATTCTAAGGTTTCTTCTAGGTCAAATGATTTTATGGCTCTACTACACACTATTTTGCATTTTCAAAGTATTCTACAAACTATTAACTATACAATTAATTATTATATTTTTAAAAAATATTTCTCAACAACATCTTGTATAAATAATGTGTGGCCTATTGCATTTAAAATGAGGGTTGATATTTTGATTGTTTGGCAAAATCATGACCAATTTCACATTGATCGTTAAAGGGCAGAAAGTAAGCATGCACCCACCCTCACTCCAGAGATCCCCACAACCAGCACTTGGCAGCCTTCTTGAAGATAAGCCTTTGCATACCAGTTTGCATCAGAAGAAGCCATGTCATGGCAAATCCAGCAAAAAGGTAATAAGTCTCTTCAATATGTTTAGAGACTTTCCAAGGTAAGTCAGCACCAATTAGACCCTTTCTGGAGGAAGTACTTGAATGATGTTCTGATAACCAGCTAGATTTTTCCTCCTCTCCAACTTTTCCTTCCCAGCCTTCAATAAACAGGCCTCCCATTATTCAGGTTCTATGCCTCACCAGCCTGGTAATCTTGAGCACATCACTTTTTTAAAAATTGTTTTTTTTTTTAGTTAACAAGCATTTGTTGTCTCTCCCTCCAAACCTTATCCCCCCCCTCCAAAAAAAAAAAAAGAAAAGAAAGGAAAAACAAAAACAAAAACAAAACCCTTGCAACAAATACGCATAGTCAAGTAAAACAAATTCCCATATTGGCTATGTTCTAAGTATTTATGTCTCATTTTGCATATAGAGGCCATCACCTGTTTGTCAGGAGGTAAGTGGCATTCTTTATCATAGGTCCTCTAGAATTCTGGCTGGTCATTGCATCAATCAGTTCTTAAAACGAGCATATCACTTCTTTATGGTACAATGGAAAAGTACTAGATTTAAAGTTGGGAGACCTGGATTCCAATCCTGACTCTTTGAGTTGCTGCCATGTAACACTGGCAAATCATTTCCTTCTCAGTCTCAGTTTCCTCATCTGCAAAATGAAGAAGTTGCCCTTGGTGGTCACTAAAGGTCCTTTTCAGCTCTCATAGACTATGAATGACATCTTCGAACCTTACTTTCCTATCCTATGAGATGGGAATGTGATGCCTGCCTGAGCTTTCTCTTGGGTTTCTTACAAGGAAGCATTTTGGAAAGAGTCCTTAAGTATGAGCAATTAAGCTGGTATAACATTTTCTGCTTCGCAATGAATATTTGTATGTATTCTCTTTTTTCATCTTAATTTTCAATTAACAAGCATTTATTTTTCTCCTTCATTAAAAGGAAAAACCTTTTTATACATACTTTGCATATATTCTTGTGCAATAACAGTTGACATTTATAGAGTGCTTTATTTAAAGAGTACTTAGTACATACAAAATCACAGTAAACTGGGGAGTTCTGTAGCACATATAATATTACCTCATTTTTAATATATCAAGAAACTAAGGCTCAGACAGGGGAAGTGAATGTAGGTCACACAGGGAGTGAAGACAGAGGGCTTAAACCCAAATGTTCTGACTCCCAAGTCAGCATTCTTTCTACTATACCCAAGAGTCCCTCTCTTTTTGGATAGTTTCATATGGTATTCTCCTGGTTTTCTATTTTAGACTCCTCAATCTACACCTTTACATTGCTCTATTCTCCTGTTACCTTTTTTTCCTTTTCAAAAAACCTTTTCCAGTGAAGTATTCCCCTTTCAGACTTTAAGCAAGATCAGTTGGAAGTTTTCCCATCAATTATTGTCTTCTTCTGTCTTTTATCCTAAAATCCAGAGATAATCTAGTCTATTTCCCTAATTTGAAAGAGGAGGAAACAAGTGCAGAGACATTAAGTGATTCAAGCTGGTAGCAATGAACACGGGTAGAATTTGAACCTATGATTACTTAGCCAGGGTTGATCTTCAGAAGAAATAAATTCATGCATGAACCATTCTGTTCAATTCAGGAACTATCTACTATAACACCTACCTAGAAAGAGGCTAGTTTTTGAGAATACAAAAACAAAAATCAAAGTCTCTGCCCTCAAAGAGCTTACATTCTATTGGAGGAAAAAAATAAACATGTACACGGAGAAGTAAAATTTAAAGAAATATGCATAGTAAGTTCAAAATGAAACTGCATAGCATAGTGGACAGAAAGCTAGCATTTGAGGAGGAAGGCATGAATTTCAGTCTCTCCCCAGCCCCAAAGTGCCTGGGTGACCCTGATATAGTCTCACATTCTCTCTAAGGCTGGAAGGTGCCTAGCTGCATTTGTAAAGGGGCTTTCCTCCTCTGGGAGTTCCCTATACCAATGAAATCACTGGTCCAATTGTTGTCCTTAATTTTCTGGGGCAAGTTGGGGTAGGTGGAGGAATAACAATAGTAACTTCTTTAAAGTTTAAAAGGCTCTTTCCTTACAATAATAGGTAAATGGTTTAAGAATTATCATCCTCCTTTTGCAAGTTGGGAAACTGAATTTCAGATAGATTAAGTGAATTATTCAAAGTCACATAACTAGTTAGGGCCTCTAGCTATGAAGTAAACAAAAACTGAGGACCTGGCTTCAAATTTTGCCTTTGTTGGTTACTGACCTCAAGCAAATTTCCTCATTTGGAAAAGGAAGGGATTGGGTTAAATGGTCTATATTCAGTCTAAGATGCAGTGACAGGAACTGAGGTCTACTTAGTTCCATCTCATGATCCTTTTTATAAAAACTCTAAAGTACAGACCAAGAATCCTCATTGGCCTTTTTTCTCCCTGTTGTTTAAAATACTGATGTATTTTAGTTCTATATTTGTAATTTTGGATTGTGTGTGTGTGTGTGTGTGTTTTCATGTGTGTTTACTCTTCCTCTAGATTCACAGAAACAATAAAAATTCACATTTTTCTTCTGTTATTGTTAAAGAGAAATCATCCACATTAGCTACAACTAGGGTCAAATTACAAATCATTATGCTCCTTGCCCCTTTAGGCTCTGCTTTTCTTCAATTTCATAAATTCATTAAAATCACATAATGTCAGAATTTCATCGGACCTTAGGGCATTGAATGTCAAATCTGAATGAACTTTAACAAAGAATACAGAATATTATTGTGAGGAAGGCTCTTGGAACATAATGTTAGAAACTTTAAGGATTCGCTAATCCTATAAAAGGATCCCTTCAGGCCACATATCAACTTGGAAAACCATATGTTAACATATGTTAACAATATCTATTGGGGCAGTTAGATGATGCAGTGAATAGAGCATCTTCCTGATTCATCTTCCTGAGTTCAAATCCAACCTCAGAGATTTGTAGCTATGTAACCCTGGGCAAGTCACTTAACCCTTTTTGCCTCAGTTTCCTCATCTGTAAAATAAGCTGGAAAAGGAAATGAATGGCAAACCACTCCAGTATTTTTGCCAAGAAAACCCCAAATGAGGTCATGAAGACTCAGGCAAGACTGAACAACAACAAATATTCTATTGTATTTTTATTTATGTTATTAAATATTTTCCAATTCCATTTTAATCTGGTTCAGTTGTATTCCATGCCTCTGGTCTATAATCCCTAATTTTATATCTGATATTTATCTTCTTCAGAGAGAGTCTCCAGATCACAGACACAACAAGGACCAGCATCAGGTATGTGCTGATAAATGTTTAATAAATTATATACTTTTAAGTTTCAGGGGAATTATTAACATTTTCTTCATCACTTTCCTAAGTCTCTATCAACAAAACACTCAATCCCCAATTTGTAGTTTGTTGCTTTCTGAAGTTTAGATAGTCACATTAAATATTTAACAATTGCCTTAAGGAGCTGGCTTCAGCACATCCCACCCCTCCATGTGTATCCTTCCGCACTCCTTTTATGACTTTAGACTTCGCTTCTGCATGTACCCATCAAGCATGAGTATGTCAGTTGAACATCCAGAACTACTTTCCTGAAAAGTCCTTATTTCAAAAAAGGAATATTAAGTAACCAAAAAATTGACAATTCCAAAATAATCATAAAAGAGGAAATCTTGAAAATCAATTGTGATAAAATTGAAAAATTTTAAAACAGTTGATTAATAAATGTAAAAGCTCTTTAAGAAAAAAATCAGCACCCCATTAGCTAATTTGCTTGAAAAAAGTGGAGGAAAATAACCAAAATTAAAAAGGAGGAGGAACTCACAATTAATGGAAAGTAAAGAAAATTTTCAGAAACTACTATAAACTATTATGTATCAACAAAACCTAAAACTTAAATGAAATGTAATAAATATTTACAAAAATATAAAATGTACAAGGTAATAGGAGCTAAAGCATTTTATTACAGAAACAGAATCATAGAAAGAGCAAACCATAAATTCCAGGGGTTGGGGGAAAAAAACCTTTTAAGTGAAGTCTATCAAAAATTTAACAACACTAGCATTGATGAAATACTTTAAAGTTTGTAAACATTTTACATATATTATCTCATTTAAACAACAAATAATCCCTTAGCCGCATAAACATCTTTGAAGAGCCCATTTTATGACACAAATACAGCCCTAATATCCAAACCAGGAAAGGATTAAGTAGTGAAAGAGAATTATAGACCAATATCATTAATATTTAGAGAGAGAGAGACAGACAGACAGACAGAGACAGAGACATAGAGAGAATGGCACTGGATTCAGGCTCAGAGACAGGAAGACTTTGATTTAAGTCCCATCTCCAACACATATTGGCTGTGTGGGCTGGGAAAGTTACTTAACCTAACTTTCTAAGACTATAAGTTACACATGAGGGAATTTTCTCAATGAGAGTTTCTAATATGACTAGAATCACATATCCAGTTCCCTCAAAAAAAAAAAGACTAAGTAAGATACTGGCAAATAGATTATAGCAATGTATCCAAAAATTATTCATAGTTTATTTTATTTTATTTTATGGCAGAAATGAAAGGATAGTTCAATGCTAAGAAAAAATAGTGTTATGAATCACATTAATAACAAAATCAATTAAAATATGATTATATGAATAATATAAAATATTTTATGAAATGTAGCACAATTTACTTAAAAACAACAAACATGAGAATGGCTAGTCATTAAAGAATTTTTTAAAAATATATTGAAAAGTATTTAGCTAAAACTAACAGTGAGCACGACTTGTAATAGAAAAAGACTGGAAGTATTCCCATTTAGATCAGGCACAATGCCCACTCTTACCATTATTAATTGACTTAATATTAGAAATGCTAGCCACAAAGTGAGACCAGAAAAACAAATCCAAAGAATAAGCATAAGGAAAGAGGAGCCAAAAAAAATCTTTAGTTGCAGGCAATATGTTTCTAATATCCTCACCTCCTTCAATAATCTAACCACCTTACTCTCTTCTAGATCTGTGATTTCTGCTATTAAATGATACACTTTTTCTTTCTTGGATCCTTAGCCTATCATTAGCCCATTTCCTTCCCCTGTCTTCTGTATTTCTTTTTTAAATAGTCCTATTTAAAAAAAAATCTTCCCCTAACTAGCTGTGTAACTTTGGGTAAGTCACTCAGGCTTTTTGGACCTCAGTTTCCTCATCTGTAAAAAAGTCTAAATGATCTCAAAGACTCCTTTCCCATTCCAACAGTATATGATCCTATCTGGAATTTCTCTTTAGCATTATCTTTATCTATTTCAATTCATTCTATAAATACTTAATTCACTATTCTGTTCCGAGCACTGTGCTTAGCACTGGGAGAAGACTGGCCCTAAACTCGAGAAGTTTAGTGTCTGGTAGGGGAATCAATCCAGAAAACCGTAATACATAATACAAGTTATGTATACAAGAGAGTTACACACCAAAGGACCATATGGAGTCTAAGGGGAAAGATTGTTATTCACCAAAGGAATTATGGAAGCCTGTTCATCGAGAAAGTAGCATTTGAATTGACTTTTTAAATTATGAGCAGGACATCAACAAATGAAGAAGGGACAGAGGATAATCCAACCAAAGGGAATAACTTTAGTATTCGACAGAAAATTGCTAACATAATGACGGAAAATTGTTAAAAACTAAATGTAATGTTATTTGCCACTCCCTTAATGATCCTAGTGATGTCAGAATTTCAGTAAAGTCTTTAAATTCCTACTCTCAAGACATTTAATCTTGATTAGGTGGTGCTGAACCACATCCTAAATCCTCCCAACCAGAAATTTTACCTCATAAAGTAACCTAGCTTAAGTTGCATCTCAGCTTCTAATGTCCTTGTCCCCTTCCTTTGGGATCATGGGCATGAAGGGCAAAACAGCCAGAATGAAGTGGTTTTCCTTGCCCAGGTAGCGAAGGGCAACTGGGGTCTCACGACCAGACCTTACTACTTCATACTACCTCCTCCTCTCCTCCTAAAAGTATTTAAAAAAACCTTTTTGTGGGTCTCTGGATTGGGAAATCCATTGTTTTCTACCCTCAAGGGACATCCCCTAGAGTGGTAATTTTGCTACTCTGTCATTTCAGTTAAAGACGCTTTATTCCTCAACTCATGACTTTAATTTATTTCAGGACTTCATATATTCAACAAAAAACTGTTGATTATCTTTTTTCAAGGCCCTGTGTACAAGAATACAAGATTATAAATAGAGGAGCTCAAATGTAGCAGAGGAGATAAGATATAGACAGGTAACTCTAATACAACTCAAGATACGATAAGTGCCACGAGAGAGGCTATGTAAGTGAAGTCTATAGGGAGGTGGGGGTTAAGAGGGGAAGGGTCAGAGTGGGGAAAGATCACTTTCAGCATGATGGGTTCATCAGGGAACAATGGAGAACAATAGAAATAAACAGAAGGAATCCATGAGGATGTCCTTAGAGTTGGACAAGATCACAAAGTGAGGTAGGACACCAATCTGAGATGGAAACCACTGAGTGTCAAGAGGCAGTCTGAAGACATCGTGTCAGGGAGGAACAGACCCCAAGGGGATGAGGTACCTAGGGAGCATGAAGAGAAGGAACATTAGTGAGAGGAACTGGTACTGACATGCCTTCACTTCCTTGTCCATCTACTTGATTACCTCCATTCCAACCAAGCCATCCTACATAGTTGCTCCCTCTATACAACTCAGCTCATCCCACTACCTCTGAGCTCTCTTTTAAAGGGCTGCATTCCTCCTATCAAGAAAGTCTTTTCTCCTTCCTCTTCACCTTGTCATTGCCTCTGATCTGGGCTCTCATCTCACTTCTATGATAACAAACATTTATACAGGGAGATTTATGTGCAGCATCTCATTTATTTGATGCTCACAACGATCCTGTGAGGGCAGTAGTGCAAGAATTATTTTCTCCATTTGAAAGACAGAAGATTGAGACTGGGAGTTCAAGTGATATATGTAAGGTCACAAAGTTAATAAGCACCAGGGCTTGAACCCAGGTTTCTGCTTCCAAATCCAGTGATGGGTTCACTGTACTATGCTAACTTTTGATAACTTTTTGGATTTAGAAGTTCCAAGGATATTCTCTATTCTGGCCAAGTAATTCAACACAACCATACATTTTTGTAAATCTGTATGATGCTTTCATGTCAGCATGGCAGAGGGGAAAGAGTCCTGGACTTATAGACAGAAAGTAGAGTTCAAATCTAAGCCCTACTGTTTTATAATTATTTACCACTTTTCTGAATTTGGTTCCATTGTCTGTAAATTGGCATATACAGTTGTTTTGCTATCCTTATAGTATTTCTGTGAAAGTTAAATGAGATAATGTATGCGATAAAGTACTTTGTAAACAACAAAAGACCATAGAACTGTGAGTTATTGTAATTGCCAAAGTTATTAGATTGGTTTTCCTGTTAGATAGATGAGATCCATAGGCTTCACAAGTCTGCCAAAGAGGTCCACGAAATGAAGAAGTTTAAGAATCCCTGGTCTAAGAGAAAAAGGAAAAAAGGATTTTATCAGAGAGTATTCTTCCTGAGAAGTTTGATTAAGTAGGGATAAGGTTTCCTTCCTTCAGGTAAGTCTGGAAAGGATTTTAGATTAGAGAAATATTTACTTCATAATATTTTCAGTTGAACTAAAAAGGAAACTTTTATATTCTTCCACAATACTAATCAATCCACAAAGGCCTAGTAAGCTATGTGCAAGGTCCCATCTGACTACTGAGGGATTTACAAAGATGTGCCAAACTTAGGCCCTACCATCAAGTTACTGACACCAAAAAAAAGAACTAACACCATCAGGTAACAGTTGTCGAGAACCAAACAAGTGAAACAAGACAGTGAGTGCCCTGGAAAGGAGCAGGGTGGTCTTCCAGAGGGAGCTTGAGCTGAAGAAGGGTGCTGATCTTTGTATATCAATCCAATGGCTTCTTCAGGCTCTAAAAGTCATTCATTGTTTCTCTTCAACTTCAGGCTTCCAAGAAGCATGAGTGGTATTTTGGAGAATTAAGCCGACAGAAAGGGGAAGAAGCTTTGATGGAGGAAAACACTGTAAGTATGGCTTCCACTTCAAATGCCATACTGGCTCCAGGACCAACTGGTCTGGGGGTTTCTGACCTTTATGGCAAGGATAGAACAGTCAGTCAATAAGCATTTATTAAGCACTTATCCTGATAATCTCCAATTTGTCATACAATTGTAGATGTAAGGGTAGGGGTAGAGGAAGAGGTACAGGTAGTGGTCGGTGTAGGTGTAAATATAGAGATAGATAGATGATATAGATCTATTTTGTTTGCACACAGTTCTAAGTATAAATGTACCTATAAAATATAGAGAAAGTAGATGCAAGGTGATCTGAGAAAAGGCTAGAGAATTTGGAGAGAAGGCTGTTCAATCAATTAACGAGAATTTAGGTATTTAGCAGGTTCCAGGTTATATTAGGCATTGTGGATACAAAATCACTGAAACAGTCTCTCCATAAGGAACCTACATTGTAATGGGGGGAGACAACATATATATATTCATATATATTTCATATATAGAATCTATTCACATATACATACTTATATGTAGTGTGTGTATATATATATATATAATGCTTCACACACAAATATATGTGCATGTGTGTAGTTTACATATACATAGAAACAGAAATACATAATATAAATATGAAGTGAATAAGTATAAATATATACAAAATAGTTGGAGCAGAAGGACAACAGCAACTGGGAAGAATCAGAAGGGGGTACTTGAGCTGTATCTTATTAAAGGAAGAAAGGGTGTCTATGAAGCAAAGGTTTAAAAAAATAAGGGTGAATTGCAGGCATGGCCCATGCAAAGGCACAGAGGCTAGATGAGGTATCCTGAGTGAAGAGCAGAAAAAAAGCCAGCTTGGCTGGATCACAGAGTGCAGAGAGGGGAGTAGGGTCCAGTGAAGTTGAAAAGATAGATAGAAGTCAGTTTTTGTAGAGTTTTACAAGCTAAATAGTTTATTTTTTTATCCCAGAGGGCACTGGAGTTGATTAAGAAGGGGTCAGGTTTCACTTAAGGAAAATTATTTGGGCAGCAGTGCACAAGATGGATTGGAATGGTGAGAGACTTGAGGCAAAGAAACTAATTCAGAAGCTGTTGTAGTAATGTAGGTGAGAGGTGATTAGGGCCTGGGCTAAGGAGGTAGCTGTGTGAGGGGAACAAAGGGATGCTGGGAAGGTAGAAATGACAAGATTTTTAAAAATACTATTTAAATTTGAATATTACTTTTTAACAGTTATCAAGTATTCTCTTCCCCTTGCCTCCTATCTACTGGGGGAAAAATAGAAACAAATATGGAATCTCTCTATCACATAAACATAGTCAAGCAAAACAAATGCTCACAGTGGTCATGTCCAAAAATGTATTTCTTATTAGACATATTAGTCCATCATTGCTCTGTCATAAAGAGAGCAGTGTTCTTCTTTATCACTCCTTTGCAATCATGCTTATCACTTAGTTGATTAGAATTCTTAAGTCTTTCATAATTGCTCTTTTGTTGTAATATTTATCTTAAAGTAAAATTGTTCTTCTGGTTCTGCTCATTTCACTCTCCATCATTTCATACAAGTCTTTCCCAGTCTCTTTGAAAGTGTATTTTTTCTTAATTTTTTATCGTATGATAGTGGCAAGATTTGGCAAGTAATTGGATATGTGAAGTGAGGGAAAGTGATGAGTTACCAAGCAAGGCACAGATAATGAAATAAATTACCCCAGAATAAAAAACAGGGGGAAAAAAACCTAAAAAGAGAAACACATATATAGGGTTAAAAACCAACAACAACAACATAACAACATTGGGATCACTGAGAAGTTTTTTTCTGAAACTGCATAAGGATATAAAGATAAAAGAAGATTGTAAATGGATTAACTGATGATAGAGAAACAAGTCTGAAACATCATGGACTAAACCTCACAATATTTTGTAGGACTAAGCCACAGAAAGAGAAAGTATATGAAAGGGAACAGGGGAAGAAGAAGTTGGGGGGGATACATAATGTGTCCAATTAAGATAATGATAAGCAATGAAGGGAAAAATAAGTCCTATAGTCTTTAAGGAAGACAATGCCCAATAGAAGAATAGGTGAGGACTGAAAGATTTAAACGGGGGAAAGAGGGGTAGAAGGGGTAGAAGTGAGTCTCAATTCAGTAGTATGAAGGAAGGGGTCTCATTGAAGAATGTTCCCATGGGGAAAAGGGGTATTCTATAATGGCAGATGGGGGCCTTATATTGGGTATAATCTGCAGAGATTTGGTGCTTAGAGAGACCATTATCTCTAACAGAGCTGTGTGCCTCTATGGACAGAATCCTGCATCAAGAGAAGAGGAATCCGAATTCCCAGAAGCAACTGACACCAAAAAGAGAGAGAATGCATAGATCCTGAAAGGAAATTTAATGACCAATGGGGGAAAATTAGCATATGGAGACAAAAAGGAAATATTCTTACCATGGAACAATATTTCTATCCTCTCTATCTCCTGCAGGTATTGATATTCTAAGAGTGAGGCACAACAGAAAACAAAGGTGGGAGGAGGAAGAGGGCACAAGATGTATCAGTCAATGATAAGGAAACTTTAGAAGAAGGAAGTCAAAATAGGTACCTAGAAGCTTTAATTCTATTAGGAACACAGAGACTTAAAGAATGAACAAACAACTACATAGGCCATAAATCAAAGAATAAAAATCTAGATAGACAAGGGAAAGAAAAATATCAAAGAGAAGGAGGAGAGAAAGAAATATTTAACTTTACTACTCAACTAAAAGAAAAAAAGAAGGGGAAAATGAATGAGGAGGAGGAAGGGGAGAGGAAGAATTAAGCCAAACTCCAAAACTAGAGAGAGAGGTCATTAAGGGGGTGGAGGCGGGGAGAAGAGCTGAACATAAAGGCCAGAGAGCTGCTACTGCCTTTATAGAGGAAAAACAATGAAAAAAGAAAAATCTAATTCCAATAAATCCAAAATATTAAAGGTAAATTAATGAAATTATAAATCTAATTCTCATAATTTATAATTTGAATAGGTTTAATAATACAATTAAACAAAAAATTGAAAGATTGGATAAGAAAACCAAACCCAACAATCTGTTATTTACAACAAACTTCTATAAGAAACAAAAAAATAAACAAAATAAAAAGGAAAGGTTAGAACATAATTTACTATGCATTTGGATGAATCCAAAAAAAGCAAGAGTTGAAATCATACTATCAAACAAAGCACAAAATAAAACTTTACAACATGAAAAGAAATAAACAAGTAAACAACATTGTGCTGAAAGGAAATCTTAGACAAACCAATATTAATATTAAACTTGTATACTCTAAATGCATTAACATCTAAATTCACAAAGGAAAAATCAACTAAATTATAAGAAGACATAGACAATAATGCAAAAGTAACTAGATAGTTTAATGTCTCTCTCAATTTTAGACAAATGTAACAGAAAGAAAAACAAAAGGAAAAATTTAGACAGATTTCTGGAGAAACTAGAACTAAAAAACTTAAAGCATCTTCTAAATGGGATTATGTAAGAATATACATATTTCAAGGCACTCTATGGAACTTATACAAAAATTGACCCTGTATCAGGACACAGAAGTATTACAAACAAATGTAAAAAGGCAAAAATAGTAAATACTTCCTTTACAGACCATAACACAATTAAAATAGAAGTCAATTCAGAGAGCACAAAAAGAGAGAGACAGACAGATCAAAATAGAGATTTAAAGAAATCCTAAATAACTAATGGGTTAAATATCAACTCAGAAACAATTGATAATTATGTGAAAGAAAATTATAATGATGAAATAAAATACCTAAATTTCTGAGCTTAAGCTATAGTAGTGATCGGGGGAAAACATATCCCTAAAACATACATGAATGAAATAGGGGGAAAAAAAGAGTATTATTGAAGTAAATATACATTAAAAAATTTTAAAGCAAATTAATAAACTTAATAGAAGCACAGAAGAAATATTTTAAAATATTGGAGAAATAAACTGAAAACAAAAGAAATCCTATAGAAATGATCAAACTAAAAGCTAGTTCTTTGAAAAGACTAACAAAATTGAAAAACCTTTGGCAAATCTGATTTAAAAGAAGACAGCAGAAAAACAAATCAGCAATATAGCAAAGGAACAAAGGGATATCATTGCAAAACCAGAAGAAATAAAAAGAATCATCAGAACTTGCTATGCACAGTTGTAAGCTAACAAAACTGAGAACACAAAAGAAATAGAGAAATACTTTCCAAAATGTGAAGTACTCAAACTAAGAAAAGATCAAATAGAGATCTTATATAATATAATCTCAGAAAAATAAATGTAGCTAAAAGGAACTACCAAAGAAAATATACTACTGGTCCTGACGGAATCACAAGAGAATCCTATAAAACATTTAAAGAACAATTAGCACTAATTCTATGCAAATTATTCTCAAGCATTGAGAAGGAAAACATTCTCCTAAATACTTTTTATGAGACAAATATAATCCTAATACGTAAACCAAGGAATGATCACATACAGCAGGGAAATTATAGACAATATCGTTAATGAATATTAAAACAAAAATTCTAAATAAAATACTTTCAAGAGAATACAGCAATTTACTGAAGAAATAAGTCATTACGACCAAGTTGGATTTATACTAAGGATGCAAGGATAGTTCAACATTAGAAAGACAATTCACATAATTAGTTATATTTAAAAGAAAAACATCCAAAACTACATGAAGATCTTGATAGAGATACAATATACTATTTGAATTGTTACTTAATCTTTTTTTCCTAACTCTCCCCTGTACTTTTCTGCCCCCTCCAGCCTCTATCCAGTGGTACAGGTCATCTCTCACTCATGGAATACATTTCCTTCTCATCTCTGTCTATTAAAATACTTCTCTTCCTTTCAACTCAAATACTACCTACTTCATGAAGGCTTTCTCTAATTCCTTGGTAAAGTGTTCTTTCCCTCTTCAAATTTCTCTACAGACCATAATCTGGATCTCTCCTTTTCGGCTAAAATGCCCTACCTCATTTTTTACTTATTCGCACATATATCTTATCTACCCACCTCCCATTCCAATAAATTATAAACTTCCCAAAATTATGAACTAGGTCTTTTTTTTCTCTCACATTTGTATCAGCACAAAGCCTTGCACATATTTTGACATTCCAATGGATCTATGATCCCATTGGTGTGGATGCAACTCTAGTGGTACAGCAGAAAATATCACTGGTTCTGAAGAGGACCTGGGTTCAAATCCTGTCACTGATGCTTATTGTCTGTGTGACCTTGGTCAAGTTTCTTAACCTCCATGTGTCTCCATTTCCTCATCTGTAAAATAAGAGGGTTGAAGTAGATGGCCTTTGAGATCCCTTTCAGGTATACCTATATCAACCTATGAGATCAGGCCATCCACACAGGAAAAGCTAAATGGATAAAGACTACCTGGAACATAGAAAATGCTTAATAAACATTTGCTTCTGATAGGAAAATGCATACTAATTCAACAAAGGAGCAAGATTTAAAGGTGTGGCTTATATATTCAATGAAAATCATAATTCAGTGCTGTAAACCAAGATAAAAGTCACATCTATAACTAGAGTGAGACAACTGGGGCTTTACTGGAATGATCTAATAATAATAAGATGATGATGATGATGATGATGATAACTCATATTTGTTTAAGAGGAAAGGGAATGAGCATATTCTAAATGCCTACCATGTGCCAGGCACTGTGCTAAATACTTTGCAAATATCTCATATGTTTTTATATGGGCAACAAGATTTCAATGGACATAAACTGTGAGGCAACATCGTATCGCTAGAATTTGACTTAGAATCAGAAAGAATAGCTTTCATTATCTGTGGTTACAAAATTTGAAGGACACAAAAACTTTAACATATGCCCCCCCTTAGGCACTATGGTAATTGATTCTCCCTCCCACTCAACTGAATTTAACTTAATTACTTTTTTTTTAATTTTCACATGAAGAATTCTTGATGTTGTTGTAATGATTCATTGGGTTTCTTGCTGCTTGCCATGGCCCCAATCTGTGAGGCTTATTCTGGTTAAAGTCACAATCTTTTCCCTGCAGAGTAACTTGCTGGCAGACCCATAAGTGGGAGGAATATTTGTGTAATAAAGATAATTGTACCTTATATTTGGTAAGCCTTTTTGCCTGCAGCTATAGGGGAAAGAGAAGGACCAATTATTTTGACATTTGGAAGTAAAATGAATAAATCAGAAGAGGGCAAGTGACATTATATTGGTTACTGATTTCTATTGGCAATATTTTAAAGAACTTCTGATTATAATATAATGGAGGAGTAAAATCATAAGGATACTGGTGTTTAAGGAAGCTGCTCTGATGAACAGTTGAGTTAGCTGTATGTAGTTTTCTGGTAAACTGCTGCCTTGGGGAAAATATGATGAAGCAGCACTTTTGGAAAAGTTCCCTTATTCTCAAAGCATCTTATTTAAAACAGAACTATGAAATAAAATGGTGGTCCCAGGAACACCACTGCAAGAGACTCACCTTTGCCTTGTGTTTTTTCTGGACTTTTTTCTAAATTTCTCTCCATCTTTTTAACTGCTTTCAGAGGCAACTAGGTGGTATGACAGATAGAAACCTGAATTAAAATCCAGCGGCAGATACTTACTAGCTGGGTGACCCTGGGCAGGTCACTTAACTTCTATTTGTCTCAGTTTTCTTAACTAAAAAATGGGGATAATAATAATACCTACTTCCCAGGGTGGTTGTGAGGATAAAATGAGCTAATATTTGTAGTGTTTAGCACAGTCTCTGACACATGGTAGGTACTTAATAAACACTGTTTCCTTTTGTCCTTTTAACCAATCAAAGTTCATTTAATACAATTGTAGTGCATTTGTTATATGAATGTTAAACTAATCTACTCTATTAGGGATGAGAAACAGTAAGAATACACCCTTGAAAGGAAATGGGCATAAATCTAGTCTTGCCCTCGCTAGAGAAGATGGAACAGTCTCTGTCATGATGTTGATACTCTCAAATATTGGGGAGGGGGGGTAAGGGCATTGGTATCAGGGGTGGTAGTAAAACTGAAGTCCTGGAACATTCAGGCTTGCTAGTAGATGGACATTTGTTGGGCTCCATTGGGGAGTTTTTTTAATACATTAATAATTTATGACTTCAATGTGCATAATGCCTAAAAGCTCACAAATACCATTTATGTATGCCTCATATCAGCCCATGAGAGTTCAGTACTATGAGCATTCTTATCATCATTTTAAAAATGAAGCTGTGGTTCAGAGGGGTCTGCCCAAGATTGAATACCTCATAACATTGGGACTGGCCCTTTGACTCCAAGTGAAGATCTTTTTCAGCTTTTCCATGATATCTTTCAGAAAACTCTCACTGAAATGCTGTTGTGTCTCTCAGCTTTCTGTTACACAAATATGAGTAGATATCATCATCATCCATGTCATTTTCATTATCATCGTCAACTTTTTCCATTTCCTCCCATAACCCCTCACGTCCGTCTTTCAAACCACTGCCAGCCTACTCTTCCTTATGTGTAGATCTGGTCATGTGATTTTTCTACCCAAAAATCTTCTGTGGTTCCCTACTGCCTTCAATGAAAGGTTCATACTCCTTTAGCTGGTATTCAAGACCTTACCCAACATGGCAATATCCTGCCTTTATCTCATATTATTGCCTCTTCATTTCACCTTTTGAGCCTCAGTTTCCTCATCTACAAAATACAGATAATAATGCTTACAATGCTCAGTGTTATGAGGAACATTCTTTGTAAGGCACGGAATAAATAAGGTGTTCTCATTATTATCATATAGATTTTAGATATGGTTTTATAATTGAGAAGTGACCAGGTTTCTTTAGTCCTTTAGAAAGCAAGTCCAGATTTTTTAAATGTTAGGAATCTGTCGCCACTAAAGAACTGACAATATTATTCCTTTACTTCAGGAGGGGACCTTCCTGGTTCGAGACGGCTCCAAGAAATCATTGGCTGAACCCTATGTTTTGGTGGTGTTTCATAGAGATAAAGTATATAACATTAAGATCCGTTTCCTGGAGAAGAGTCATCAGTTTGCCCTTGGGACAGGACTCAGAGGAAATGATGTGAGTGAAATAGCATCTTAGAGCCTGTGTGGGTGCCCATCTGATGCCTTTATCCTTCTGTTTGTTTTTTTTCCAACGGATGGAGTACAATGGCTCTCCCTAAGTATGCAGTTTATTGTCATGATAAGGACTATGGCTTAAATGTCTAAATTGTGATGCTCAAAACACTGAGCAAACTTAGTTATCACCTACAACTGTAAAGCTTTTTCTTTTTCCTAAATAGTTTAATTAGAGAGCTATGATATATTTTCAGTGAGACTGAGTAATTCTTCCATAGAAATGAAAATAAGGAGAACATTTCCTAAACAGCCAGAACATTTCAACTTACTACCCTTGGGAAATGGTGGAAGTTTCTAGCATTTCTGCATCACAAAAATGGTAGAACTGACAGCAGGTCAATAAGCATTTACTAAACACTTCCTATGTGCCAGGAACTATTCTGAGATCTAACGATACAAAGTAAGGCAAAACCATGGTCATTGTCTTCAAGGAATTCTCATTCTAATGGAGGAAATAACATGCAAACAACTATTTGCATGCAAGATATATATATCATAAATGGGAGGAAATTTCAAAGGAAAAGGGATTAGAAAGAAGTTTCCTTGAAATAAAGACAATAGAATATTAGAAATGGAAGGAACCTTAGTCCATAGTAGAATATGGAATGTTAGGACTGTAAGGGACCTTGGAACATAAAACATAGACTATTTGAACTCGATGTGGCACATAGAATGTAAGAACTAGAAGAAACCTTGGAACAGCAAATGTTAGAGCTGGAAAAGAACTCAGAGATCATCTGGTCTAACTCATTTTCTAGACAAGGAAAACTGAGAGTCAGAGATGTAAAATGATTTACCCAAGGTCATATACTTAAGGATTATAAGTGTGCTCAGTGCTCTCAAATTTGGCTTTCTGAGGCAATACTTTAGTTGCCCTTCCCTAGTTATGGTTCCACATTTAAATGGTCTCAAGTAATTTCACAAAGACCAAGTTACTCCCCTCTACATATGCCAGCCAAACTGAATTGTACCTATTAAGTACTTGTCATGTACCAGGCATACTCTGTGTTCTACTCTATAGAAAAGCAGATAGGTGTTGCCAATTTTTGTCTCCTCAATTGGCTTCACTTTTGTCCTTCTATATTTCTTTCTAGCTTAAGGAATCTGTCATAACCCAGCTTTGTATTACCACCTTGTGTGAAGGATTTCTTTTCTTTCACTATGAGTAGTGAATGACTCTGTAAGATAGATAGATCTCTTCTTTTTTTGCTTGCTTTTAAATAAATTCAAATTTAAGTGGTTTTTTTTTGCATTTTCCATAGCAATTAATAAAAGATCAAAGAAGATACCTCCTTGAGTAGGATTGTTCTCAATCCTTTTCTTTCAATCAATAAACATTATTAAGTGCCACTGGGAATACAAAAAGAGACAAAAGATAGTCCCTACACTCATGGAGCTTACAGTCTAATGAGGGAGACAGCATGCAAACAAATATATGCAAAGCAAGCTATATATAGGATAAATAAGAAATAATTAAGTGAGGGAAGGTATTAGAATTAAGAGGGGTTGTGAAAGGCTGTAAAAGATGGGATTTTAGTTGGGGCTTAAAGGAATCCTGGGAGGTAAGCAGGCTGAGTTGAGGAGTAATGGTGTCCCAGGCATGGGACCCTTTTCTGTCAAAGGCCACTTCAGTATTAAAATGCTGTAGTGGGAAACACTCGGTGTAAGGGCTCAAAAGATTTGGGTTTGAGTCTTGGCTCTACAAACTGTTTTACCTTAGGCAAGTTATTCTACTACTCAAGGTTTTGGTTTCTTCATCTACAAAATGAAATGAAGGTGCTTTACTTTTAATATTCTTAGCTAAGTGGTGCAGTGGATAGAGTGCTAGACCTAGTCAAAAGGACCTGGGTTCAAATCCAATTCAGATATGTTTTAACTGTAAATATCTGGGCAAGTTACTTAACTGCTGTCAGCCTTAGTTTGCTCATCTATAAAATGAGGATAATAATACCACCTTCATTGCAGAGTTTGTATTGTGTAAATACTCATTATAATTATTATTATTATTATTATTAACATTCTGTGAGACTGCTCTCACATTCCTTAATTAGCAATTCTTCATATTCCCAATAAGTCTGTCTCATTATGTTCCCTATACCATACCTCTTCCTCCAATGTCCAATGACTTATCATGGTGAGGAAATATCTAGTTTTATCCAAGGCAGTTCTGGGTTGCATTGGATAGAGTGCTGAGTCCGGAGTCAGGAAGACCTGAATTCAAATCCAGTTTCAGATATTTACTAACCATAGGCAAGTCACCTAACCTCCATTTGCCTTCATTTCTTCAACTGTGAAATGGGAATAATAATAGCACCTACCTTGCAAGATTGTTATGAGGATCAAATGAGATATTTGTAAAGCACTTAGCACAGTATATAGTAGATAGTAGGTGCTTCATAAATTTTTCTTCCCCTCTCCCTTCAAAGATTATGCTTCTAAAACACAAGTGTTGGCAGATCCTACCAAACTATAAAGGTTCAGAAGGATCCCAGTACAAAGGTTTCAAGAAAGCCAGTGACAGGCTGCTTATCTGTTTTCTGAGGACCAAATTAGTATAGCTAAGTTTGGAGAGACTGTTTGGAAATGTGGCTATTGTGGTTTGGGGTGCTGGGAACCCCAAAATGTAAGGATACAGGGTGAGTCTGCCTGGAATGAATTCACACACTCAAACCTTCTTCCAGTCAAGGGGCAATTTATTGTAACAAGTGGGCAAGATTTCTAGTAAATCTGCAGCTTGATGAGGATGAGACTGATACTTGTATATTAAAAAAAGGGAGAAATGGTCAGTGAAAAGATCTTGATGTGATTAACGAGTGGTAAATAGCCTGGAGCAGGCCAAGAGAGGACTGTGAAAGGGGGTGGGGGTGGGCCAGATGCCTTGGGCAAGATGCCAGTGATCTGGGATGTTGAATTGTATGGGGAAATTAGGGGACTGGGTTGCTTTCAAAGACATGGTCTTTTCCTTTTAGGGGTCCAGGTCCCAGCACCCCATCATGGCCACTGGGTGATTTTTATTTTTAATTTTTGGCTATTAACAATTCATGGAGACTGTCCCTTGAAGGACATAGAAGTTGCCATCTGCATCAGTGGAAGAAGTACTGAAGAAATCATTAATCTTTGAAATACATTAAACATACCTGGATCTTCATAGGAAATAACCTCAGAGGTCATCTTGTCTAACCCCTCATTTTACACATGAAGAAATTGAGGCAAAGGGAGGTTAAGTGATGTGTTCAAAGTCACAAAGGTTGTAAGCAAGAGAAATAGAATTCTTAAAGTACATGTGTAAACATGGGCAGCCAGGCAGTTCAGGAAATAAAGTGCCAGGCCTGGGGTCAGGAGGACCTGAGTTCAAATCTGGTCTTAGATACTTACTGGACATGTAACCCTGGATAAGTAACTTAACCTGTTTGCTTCAGTTTCTTCAACTGTAAAATGATCTGGAGAATGAAATGGCAAACCACTCCAGTTTCTCTGCCAAGAAAACCCCAAATGGGGTCATGAAGAGACAGACATGACTGAAACAAATGAACAATGTGTAAACATGCCTGACCCAGTGCTAATTGGCATATGGAAATAATAAAACTAATTGAAAATCATCTATTAAATTCATTCATTCAATAAATATTTATTGAATACCCATTCCATTTAAAGAGTACCCAGTTAAGTGTTGATATATTGAACTAGGTAGTAAACACTGTGCTAAATTTGAGATCAGTGTGTTAATTTTTAAAACTAAAATTATATTTTATTTCAATGGGTAATGTCCTCATTAACCATTATTTTGTAAGTTTAAAAAAAGTAATAAAAATTTTCGGATATAAGCCTGCCCTTTGAGACTGATGGCAAGTGGGCAACCATAGAATTATAGAAGTGTAGAAAGTACCTTAAAACATGGTGATGGATTCAGGGTGCATCCCAAGAATGTTGGGGTGCCACCAGCCCAGTGTCCTGAAGAAATTCACTTGGACAGTTCTCCCAGTTAAAGAAAGGCATTGATTTGGGTGCTGTACCCAAGCAGGTCCTGCTTCCCTAAGGGAGGCAGGGCCTTATCAGGCCCTCTCTACATGGAAGAGACAGAGCGTAGGTGGCAGGCCGTTCCCCTAAGGGAGGCGGAGCAATCATTAGGGTTAGGTGTCTGGTGTCTGGTCTATACAGTTTAACACGATAGGGGTAAAGGCAACAGAAGGGAGGAGGGGTAAGCAAGGCTCTGGAATACCTGGAATATCAAGAAAGTCCAAAAGGTGTCTTTGTCATATAGATAAGTGAGGATAACAGGAAAGGGGAGGGGAAGAGTTGTTCTGGAATGTCAGGTAATTGGGGGGTGCTTGGTGAAAGCAAAGTCCCTGGTGGGGGGCTTCAATGCATAATCTTCTTTGGTCACTTTTCTGACTGCATCCTGTTTGTTCCATCTGCCTCAAGCCCTCCGTTCTACCTCATCAATGGGACATTGAATACCATGACTGGAGGAACCTTAAAATATGAAATGTCAGTGCCCTATGAGGCTTAAGAACATATAACATTAAATTGATAACTTGAGAGGACTATCAAACTTAGAACAAAGATTACTGGAGCAGAAAGTGACTTAGAACATATGATATTAAATGTCAGAATGGAAAAGGATGTTAGAGATCATATCTTTTAAGAAATAATAATTATTTGGATGCAGACTTGGTATGCTTTTCAAATTTACTTACAGCACAAGGTTGGGAAAAATAGCTACAAATTTGGATGACCAAATAAACATATTTTGCCCTATAATAGTTTGTTTACTTGGCCTTTTTGCCCTAATCAACTATAACTCTCATTAAAGAAGGCCATGGATTGTATCTTATGAACTTGACTTGATTTGACTTGACTTGAATCCTAGCTCCTTTGATTGAATAAATGGGATGTAACTAACAAGAGAAAAATAGCTGTGGATTTATTATAATTTCATTTTATATGTGTTTCTTCATTTATTATAATTTATCAAGTAAAAGGCTGTATCAAAAACATATTAATGAACTTAAAGGAGTGTGTGTGTGTGTGTGTGTGTGTGTGTGTGTGTCTATGTGTGGCCACAAAGGTTATTAAACTTCTTGGCAATAAATGAAAAATTGCTCCCGAAAGGCAAACACAAAAAAATTTAGCCTTTAAGATCTAATATCTAATATCAGCCTGCCATTTGCTATCCACTTGAAATGACTTTTTTCTTAGAAAGAGATTATTATTAAATTCTTCTTTTATTAATATCTCTTTAGGTTAAAATTTCAGCTACAGGCCCACTACCAGAGAGAAATAATAAGAAATGACAAAATGATTAATTGTGCCATTCTTGGCTTCTGTTTCCTGTTAAGATTATTCATTCATATAAAATACCATCCATATAGCAGAATATTAAAAACAATTAATATTGAATTCATTATGTCATGACATTCTAGAGAAAACAAAGATTAGAATGTAGTCATGCCTTCCCCAGAGATTAATACCACATATGAGTAAACATATTTTTAATGGGTTATGCATGAAAAGTTTCATTTTTCCATTTTACTTTTACACTTGAAAAGCAAAAAATAATAAAAAGAAAAGATAGGTTGTTTATAACTAGAAATTAATGATAGAAATTTTAAGGTCTTAATTTCTTTCCCACTAATTCCTTAATTTTTCAAAGTATTATTATGGTAAAGCATTCTACAAAGGGATTCTTACATCTTTTATTTCATTTGAGTTTCCAAACAATCCTCTGAGGAAAACAGGGAACTATTCCCTATATACTATAGATGAGACAACTGATATTCAATGAAGTTGAGTGACTTATCCAAAGTAACACAAGTAATGTCAGAGTAAAGACTCAAATCAAGATTTTCTGATTCCTAGATGAACAATCATATCCTTTTATCATGGTGCCTTAGAATATTTTTTCTATAGATTTATAACTACACTAGTACTTCACTTACCTAGAATTCATTTATCCAGAGACAGCTAGGCTGCACAATGGATAGAGTGCTGGACTCGGGCTCAGAAAGACCTGAATTCAAATCCAGCCTTATTAGTTGTGTGACCCTGGGCAAATCACTTAACTTGTACCTCAGTTTCCTCAAATACAAAATATGGAGAATAATAGTATCTATTTCACAGAGTTGTTTTAAAGAACAAACAAGATAAATTTGTAAGGTACTTAGTGCCTGGCTCTGAGTAGGTGCTTAATAAATACTTCTTCCCTTCCTTCCACTACCTATTGAGAACATAGCTGAGAAGGAAACACAATCACCGAAGTCAAAATGGCTATCACAAAATCCATGGGGTAAAATTCATGTACTCTACTCATAGGAAAGCTTACTTACTTACTTTAGATATAGTTCTAACTATCTTGGTTGTCTGGTTTCTAACCTTAGGAAAGATTAAAATTAGTAGAGGTCAAGGAAGAGAAGGGCTACTTCAGGCAGTTACATCAGCATCAGAGAAAAAGTGATAACTAATAGCTTGAAAGTAAGGAAAGATGCATAGGAAACAGACAAAAGAACTAAAAAAGCCCAAAAGCCTAAAATAATTGATGTATGTTAAAATGCACACAGGGGCTATACAGCTTTGCATGACTGTCACTATATTATATCCAAGCATAAGAGCTGAAATTCATAATTGGTGCCCCTGAATTGTTAAGAAAATGGTAAATGATAATCAGTTTGAGGAGGTAGTGAAGGATGTAAAAAACTGAAAAGATTACCAGACAGTTTATTGAATTAAAGTGGTTAAAACAACAACCAAAGGAGGTGCTTAAATGCATGAACGCTTAACTATTTGAAATACTCAGCTTATGGAATGTCCTATCTACTTCCTGAGAAGTTCCTGAATGCAGAGGCTGTACTGTACAAATATCTCCTATATTCCTTACATTAATTTCTTACATTAGATTCTTTTTTTTAATGAATCCAAATTTGTTTCCATAGCTCTCACCATCCCACTCCCATTTAAAAAAGAAAAGAAAAACAAAACTTTTCTAACAAATGATAATAAACAAGCAGAACATTTTCAAACATTGGTCATGTCAAAAAAAAAAATCTCATTCTGAACCCTGAGGCCATCACAACTCTTTAAGGAGGTGGGTATTATCAGTCCTCAGAATCATAGTTGATTTTCAAATTGATTAAATTTCTTAAGTCTTTCAAAATTGTTTGTATTTACAATGTTGTTATTGTAAGGAGGAGTCAAAAAACTATTCAGTTCTTTGGTTCTGCTCACTTCATCGTGCATTAGTTCATATAATTTTTTCCCCAAGGTCTTACTTCAGATTCTTAATAATGATGCACTTTAATTCATACTTACTCTTCATAACCAAACCAACATACAAATTTGTCAATCGTCCAAAAGGGTGATCTTGCACAAAAGACTTCCTTCAATGACAAAGAAGGGGTCCTGGATTCTCTCTTTTTTAAAGGTTTCTAACAGTAAAATTATTTCTGAATATGTCTCTCATCCTACCCCAGGAACAAAATGAAGTGCCCACCCCTTGTAACAAAGGAAAACAATTGATATGACAGCATATGACAATGCATGCAACATTCTACCATTGTAGTCCACTACCTCTCTAATAAAAGGAGGGAATATATTCCATCATCAGTTCCTATGATCTCTAGGATCATTACTGCTTTTGAAAAAAAAAATACTCAGCTTGGTTTCCTTTTAGTGATCTTTCCATGATGTACATTGTTCTCATTTTTCCATCTTTTCATGTAATTCTTCCAATGTTTTTTTTCTGAATTCCTCATATTGATAATTTCTTACATGATATTTCATTGCATTATATGCAATAATTTATTCAGTCATTTCCCTGTCAAGGCATACCCAGTTGGTTTCCTATTATTTGCTATCATAAAAGATGCTGTATTTTGTATTGGACATCCAGTTGCATCATCATCCCCACCACCATCATGATGATCATTATTATCATCATTGGCATAGGACCTCATTTGATTTTTTTTTAGCATTTTAATAGCATAGGTACTAACTGCTCTTTAAATACTTGATAGGATTCATTTGTAAATACATTTATCCCAGTGCCATTTTTTTTTCAATTTTGGCAATTAATTTATGGCTTACTCGATTTCTTTTTAGGAGATTGAATTCTTTCAGTTCATCATTTCTTGTTCTTTTAATTTTTGTAGATAAAAATTATTTCATTTGAATTCTTAATTTTGTTGGTATATATGCATTATATGTACAATAGTAACCGACAGTTCTTACTTCCTTTTGTGTTCAAATGATTTCTTCTCTTTTTTAAACAACTTATCTAATAATTTCATAATCTTTTTTTAAACCAGCTATTAGCTTTATCAGTTCTGGGTTTTTTTATTTTCAAGTTTCTTCATTACTTTTCCAATTTTCCATATTTCTTCATTTATATTTGTTTTAGGATTAATGAATTATTTTAGAGTTAAATAAGGCTACAGTTACAGAGTTTGTTCTGTCCTCTCATCTTCTCATTTTCATTCTGTGGCTATCTTTAGGATTTATGTATTTTTTAATGCAGAAAGTTTAAAAATCCATTCTTCCAATTGGGGTGGGGGGGTGAGATTTAACCCAGTCACATTTAGGGTGACAATTTTAAATTTATATTTTTCCCATTAAACACTTTTAATATTTATCCCATCTCTTTTAATATTGTCTTTAGTCTCTATAGTTTAATTTACCCTAATTCTGTCCTCTCTGACCCACTTCTTCTTTCCTTTCAGCCCACTTCCCATTCTTGGCTGAGGTAAGAGCATGGTACCAAATTCCCCCCTCTCTCTTGAATCCTCTCTGCTTACACACACTAATCCATTTTCTTAATTTCAATGCCACGAATTTGTAATATCCCTTTCCAAGAAATGTCTTCATTCCACTTTCTTCCTTCCTTCTTCCTTTCCCATTCTAGAATACTTACATGATCCTTTCTTGTTCTCTCCGTTGCCACCAAATAGTCTGAAGCTTCTGGTAGACATAAGTTTTGCTCCCACATCTAACCAACTCATCTATTAGTGCACTTAGAAATCTTCTCCCTACTTCCCTTTCTCAATCTTTTTGTCCCCTTGAAATATATTTTGATAAATCTCACTTCTAGTATGTTAGAATATTAATTAGTGAAGATACAATGGGTTTCATTTAGGAATACTCTATAATCAGAATCCATGGAATCTGGTTCTATTCTTTGTGCTTTCCTTCTCCTACAACTATTTTTAGGGTTAAAAATATTTACCACTACTGCTGCTGCTGCTACTACTACTACATTTTTTTGTGGTAGTAAAGGACTAGAAACAAAGTAGAATTCCCCCAGTGATTGGGGAACAGGTAAATTGCGGTACATAAATGGAAAGGAACATGACTGAGCCCTGATAACAAAAATGAATACAGAAAAGGACAGAAAGACCTATGTGAACTGATGCAAAGTGAAATAAACAGCACTAGGAAACAATATACGTGTAACGTGGTTAATCCTGGTCCCACTCTTGGAGTCAAGTCTGTTGCATCTCCCCTTCAGGTTCTTTGATGTGGTGAGGGGGCTTGTTTCTTTTGTCTGCCAACAGACCCTCAGAGCTGCTCTCCTGTCCCATTGTAAGGACCCTGTGACTAGCCCAGTTCCATTTAAGCACTTAACATTCAATCGCTTTTACAAAGGAATATTTAATTTAAAGATATAGCCAGAACAAACTACAAACATATCTCACATATTGCGGTTACAGGGGCAGGGAGAGAGTTAGGCTCACAACTAAAGTTCAATGTCTCGACAAGTTCACATCCAAAGCCAGCATCACCGCTCCTTCTGATGGGTTGCAGTCCTAGACCCTTGTTCCTCAACGTGTTGCTGCTGGACAACATCTGACCTGGATTCCTGGGTTCCTGGATCCCTGTCGCTCATGCTCAAGTCCCAGACTGAAGACTCTATACTCTGCACCTAGAATAGAAAATAAATAAATGAAGAGACCAAAGACCCAGGTCCATTTCTGATATGACCGTGGGGGTGGGAAAGTTTCACACCCCTTCCCTTTACAGCATGGTTCTCTCACTAGAAATCATTGGTGAAAGAGTCACCTTACTCCTCCAGATGCAACTGTAGCAAAATTCCTCGCTGGTGCTGTCCTACCTATAATTTTTAATGTCCTCCATTTTCACTCCATGTTAATCTCTCCCAGCTATGCATCCAGGGGGTCTCAACTTCTCACCTTGTTCTGGTGGGAGGCAGACCCAAGAAACACAAACCAAGCAGGTAGAACTTTCCAAAAATCAACCACACCACCAAAAAACTCATTCAAACATTCCTATCTCAACCCTATCCACTCCTGTGATGGAACCAGAGCATTTCCTCTCAGTTGGTGAGACCAGATTCCCAGTGCTCTCTCTGTGACTTAACCTTCATCTCTCCCTTCTCTCACCATCCCAAATGGAGGGACAGAAATGGAAAATCCTCCACTTTTCTTTTCAAGTCCTGACCACTATTTCCCCAGACTCCTCTGTCCCTATCTCCCCTTTTTCCACCTAAGAGGAATTCCTCTGTATTATCCCACCAGTAATAATACTGATTTACTGAATGAGAACTTTTGTCCCTGAAATATTAATTTATGTCTTCCTTCTACTCTCACCCTTTTTTACTCTCATGTGTTTTTCTTGTTTCTTGGATTCTTTTGCTCTTAGATACTTTCATTGGTCACTCCATGTCTTTTGGATACTGTTTTTTTAAACAAGAGAAAAAACAACCCCCCAACCACATTGACTTTGTCTAATTTTAAATTTACAAAAACACACATTTCACAATTTTTTTCTTTCAATGCTATCTGAACTACTTACTTGTATTTTGTTTAACGAATCTATAAACTGAATATTCTACTTACCACTCCATCTTTTTTAAGGAGATTCTCAAATTCTTCCCTTTTACTAAACAAATAATTATTTTCATTAATGATTATTCTTAAAGCCTTGCAAGATGTTACTTTTCTAATATTCTTTGCTTTTCAGAATATCATACACTCAGCATCATATGTTGACTGGCAGTACAATCCAAAAGTCTAACTAAAATGGTTCTGGGTGAGTTAAATTTGGGGCATCTTTCTGTAACAGGTCTTTGGATTCTCTCAATTTATTCTTTGTCCCTTGTTTCCAACATTTCTGAACATTTTCCTGTATGATTTCTTGAAGTATGGTATTCACATATTTTTCCCATTATTTCTGAAAGATCTCTAATATTTAGATCATGTTCATTCCATCTTTAAATTCAATATTCTTATTTTGTAGAGCTCTTGTGTGTTTATAAAATCATGTCATTAGATTTTACTTAATTTCCTTTACTTTAATTTTCCTTAATTTCCTTTACATTTTGGTGATCTTATTTTGTCATTTTACTTTTAAGAGGATCTTTTTGTTTTGAAAAATGACTGCCTTGTGTTCTAAATCCCCTATTCTTTTTTAAAAAAATTATTATTTATTTATTTTAAACATTCTTTTCTTTTTAAAATTTTGAGTTTGAAATTCTTTACCTCCTTCCCACTGTGTCCCCCACCCACTGGGAAGGCAAGGAATATGATATCAATTATACATATGAAATAATGTAAAACATTTCCATATCAGCCATATTTCTTTTAAAAAGCAAGAAAAATAAAGAAAATGAGAAATTATATTTCAATTAGCACTCAGAATTCATCAATTCTCTCTGTGGAAATGAATAGCATTGGGGCAGCTAGGTGGCACAGTGGATAGAGCACTGGCCCTGGAGTCAGGAGGACCTGAGTTCAAATCTGACCTCAGACACTTGACATTTGCTAGCCGTGTGACCCTGGGCAAGTCACTTAACCCCATTGCCTAGCCAAAAAAAAAAAAGGGAAGTGAATAGCATTTCATCATCATGAATCCTTTGGAATTGTCTTGAATCACTGTATTTATCAGAGTAACTAAGTCTTTCACAGTTGATCATTACAACATTACTCTAACTAGCACAACGATCTCCAGGTTCTTCTCTCTTCACTCTGCATCAGTTCATCTAAGTCTTGCCATGTTTTTTTCCTGAAACCACCCCTGTCATGATTTCCTGCAGCATAATAGTACTCCATCACAATCACATATCACAACTAATTCAACCATCCTCTCAATTTCCAATTCTTTGCCACCACAAAAATTGCTGCTATAAATATTTTTGTGCACATAGGTCCCTTTTCTTTAATCTCTTTGGGATACAGACCTAGTACTGGTATTTCTGGGTCAAAAGATATGCACAGGCCCTGTAGGCCTAGTTCCAAACTGTTCTGCAGAATGGTTGGAACATTTCACTACTCCACTAACAGTTCATTAGTGAACCTATTTTCCCTCATCCTCTCCAGCATTTGTCATCTCTGATAAATGTGAGGTGGTACCTCAAAGTTGTTTTAATGTGCCTTTCTTTAATCAATGGTGAACACTTTTTCATATGACTACAGATGGCTCTTATTTTTATAAATTTGACTCAGTTTTATACTCAGTATATGTTTCAGAAAAGAGGCCTTTATCAGAAACTTCCTGTAAAAACTTTTGATATTACTTCGTTTTTTATGATACCTTTTAGAAAAATGCAGTTTCCTTGATTATCTCTTTTAGGTCCATTTCTGCTTTTCCTTTGTCTGAGATCATGATTGCTTCCTCTGCCTTTTTTTTTTCCAGGTTAGCTGAAGCATATTAGATTCTGCTGCAGCCCTCTATTTTAACTCTGTGTGTGTGTCTTTCTGTTTCAAGTTGTCTCTTGTAAACAGTGTATCTTTGGATTCTGGTTTCTAATCCATTCTACTATCTGCTTCTATTTTATGAGTTCATCCCATTCACATTCACAGCTATGATTATTGTATTTTTCTTTCCATCCATTTCTTATGTTTCCTCTCTCTCTCTCTCTCTTCTCCTCCTTCCCTCCCTCTAGTCTATTTTGCTTCTAACCACTGCCTCCCTTTTTTCAGTATGTATCTGAAGTGAGATATGAACTTAGGAAGATGAATCTTCCTGACTCCAGGCCTGGCATTCTATCCACTTGCATTACCTAGCTGCCCTCAAAGTTCTTAGGAATTACTTGTGTCATCTTCTCATTATAATTCTCTTGTGTCTGAATGGCAAATTTTCTATTCAGCTCTGGCCTTTTCATTCTCTTGTGTTTTCTATTCAGTTCTGGCCTTTGCATCAGGAATGTTTGAAAGTCCTCTATTTTAAATACCCATTTTCCCCCCTAAAGGACCACACTCAGTTTTTCTGGGTAGCTTATTCTTGGTTGTAATCCTAGCTCCTTTGAAGTTCAGAATATCATATTCCAAACCCTCTGAAAGCCATTAAATCTTATGTGATCCTGAGTGTGGCTCCATATTTGAACTGTTTCTTTCTGGTTACTTGCAGTATTTTCTCCTCTGGAATTTGGCTATAATCCTGGGAGTTTTCATTTTGGGATCTCTTTTAGGATGTGATCAGCGGATTCTTTCAACTTCTATTTTACCCTCTGGATCTAAGCTATCAGGGCAGTCTTCCTTAATAATTTTTGGAAATATAACACACACACACACACATAAACATATAGGCTCTTTCTTTGATTATGGCTTTCAAGTAGTCCAATAATTCTTAAATTATCTCTCCTTGATCTGTTTTCCAAGTCAGTTATATTTCTGATATTTTACATTTTCATCTATTTTTTCATTCTTTTGACTTTGTTTTATTGTGTCTTGATATCTCAAGGAATCAGCTTCCACTTGCCCAATTCTAATTTTTAAGGAATTTTCTTCAATGAGATTTGTACCTCTTTTTCGATTTGGCCAATTCTGCTTTTTAAAGGCATCATTTTCTTCAGTATTTTTGTGTCTCTTTTACCAAGTTGTTAATTCTCTTTTCATAATTTTTTTGTATCACTCTCGTTTCTTTTTCCAATCTTTCCTCTATCACTTTTATTTCTTCCAGGATAATCTTTTTGGTCTTGTTTCCAATCAGCATTTTTCTCTGAAACTTTGTTTCTGTTTTCACATTGTTGTCTTCTTCTGAGTTTATGTCTTGGTCTTCCCTGCCACAGTAGTATCTTTTTATGGTCAAAATTTATTTTTGTTGTTGTTTGTTCATTTTCCAGCCTATTTCTTAACTCTGAACTTTACGTTAAAGTTGTGTTCTGCTCGCCTAGGGGCAGGCAGACGCTGTTCCAAGCTTCAGGCTTTTTCACGCTGCTGTTTTCACAGCTAGTTGTGAGAATCTGCAAATTTCTGGTGCTTCCAAGACCGTGTGATACTGGGAGACACGTGGTCACCGCTCCCCCGGTCTGTGCTCTGGTCTTTACCCTAGTCCCCTGTAGTTCCGTTAGTGTTCCTCTTTGCCTTGGAACTGTGACCAGGGCCCCTGCTCTCTTGTGACCAACCACCAGTGCTCCTCTCTGCCCTGGAATTGCAACCCACAACTGCATACGGGCAATAAAGTTGACTATCAGTGCCAGCAGAAGATCCCTATAATTTCTTTCTGAGCAGTCATCTGGCCTCCCTTACCATCTTTGGGCTGAGAGTTCCTGAAGCTCCTGCTGCTGCTTTGGTTGCTGCCACTTGTGCAAGCTCCAGACAGGCCTTTACTCCGATGCCACAAACTTCTGCTGACCTCCTAAGTTTTATTTGGCTGGGAAAAAAATGTTTCACCCTGACCTTTTGTTAGCTCTGCTGCTTCAAAATCTGATTTGAGGTGTTATTTTAAAGTTGTTTGGAGAAGAATGTTGAGAGAATTCAATGGAGTTACCTCTAATCTGCCATCCTCTAACTTTTCTACTCATAAAATTGATTTCTCCCTTCAGAGCTTTAATTTCTGTCCTTAGTTCCTTAATATCTTTCCTGATAAATGATGATCCAATCTCTGATCAAGGGCCTTCAGTTAAAGGGGAGACCACTATCTCCTCTGGCAGCTCATTCTATTTTCATGTAGATCAAATTGTTA